GACGCTGTTAATATTATACAGGCGTGGGTTACCTTGATGAACCGCTTTTACCCACTTTATACGGCTCGGCTGTTATTCCTGATTTTTCCTCGCGTCAAATACGCCTTACGTCACACGCGGAGAATCCGCTGCTGTGATCGCGTGTCGTGTCGTGGAAAAGGAGCGTTATAGATTTCAATCGACGCTCGATTTTACGACGCGCGCGGCGCGTTCCAGCGAGTATGGTCGTTCCAAATGTTTCGCGAGTTTTACAGCCGCGGGTAAAACCCGGGTAAGCTCGTCGTAAACGGCATATTTTTGCTCAAGACACATTCCGAGTCTCTCTCTCTCTCTCTCTCTCTTTCTTTCTCTTTGGCGCTTCAGAGACTATTAAATTGAAACAAGAAACATTAAACGGTGAAAGGAAAATTAAACCTGAAAAATTGCGGGTCTTGTAATATTCTTAAAAAGGGGAGTAAATTCTTCCTCTTTTGAGTTACACGCGACATAATGAGCCTCTCTGAAACCTCGAACAAAGAGAATAATTCTCCTGTGGAGGATAACCGTTGCTCAAGAGAGGAAGAATAAACGCTGAGTAATCGCCTTTCTGGGCGGCGGTACAGAGTGATATCTTCCTCCGCGTGGCGCGGGGAGATTGCAGAGACTCCGCGGAGAGACTCCTGCGAAATTGACGATACAAAGAAATATCGTGGAAAAGAAGCCGGCCGCTCCGTAATTCCTCGAGATATATTAATTCCTCATCACGGCGCGCACTACTTTACGGCTCGCGCTATGTAGGCCGGCGAGATTTCAAGAGCGAGATCGTATTTTTATTACGGGGGAAGGGAAGAGTATTGGCCGAAACACGCGCATTCCCGCGCGCGGTGGCAAGGCCGCCGCAGAAGAAGCGCGCCACTTCGCGTTTGTCGCGTCGCGTCGCGTCGACGCGACTCGATGTGCACAACTATGTAATCGCATGCAGCATGCGTGGCGCTTGGATCGAAGCCGCTCGTGGTACGACGCAGCGACGCACGAATATTGCAATCAATAAGAAAGCTGCGCCGGTTGCCGCTCGCAACAGGCGGCTTTCAGCCGGCGCGGGTGCGCTGTCCAGCGTCAACTGCGTCGTAAGGCCGCGGAGACGTCTCGAGTGCTCGGTCACCCTCAGGATTTCAATCGCGCGCGCGCGCGCGAGAGAGAGAAAGGAGAGAGAGCGAGCGACGAGAGAGAATGGTTCAAACGGCGACACGAGATCGAGTCAGTCGAGAGATGTCCATTCGCGCAGGACTCGCTCGGCGACACGAAGCGACACGCGCGCGTGCGAAACTGCACTGCCGCAGGAGAGAGCCTTCTAGACCAGACCGCGTGTCAGGATCATCTAGGACTACGGACAGCGGGCAGCAGGTAGCAGCGGGGCGTACCCGAAGAGACAGATGGGACGGCCGACAAGCTCGTAGGGTGGTTTGTGACGATCTGGTGGAGGCTGCGGACCGAAATACACTCGCACGGCCAATTCTCACCAATACCGAAAGCTTTTCCGATGCACGTGCAACCGACCACCATCTCGGCAGATGGCCGCGCTATTTCAGGCGGGCTAGCCAGTGCCATGTAGCGAGTCAGGGCCGTGCGGCGTGCTCAGTCCACCCCGCGGCCACTCCGCCGCTCGGTTGTCGGTGGCGAGCGCGATGCTCTCTCTCTCTCTCTCTCTATCCGCCGGACGATACTCGGTGATGATTTTTTACGGACGATATCGGCAACCGGCGCGGGCGCTCCGCCTTTCGCGCTCGCCGCATGACAGACATGACACACGCCAGGAAGACTCCTCTTCCGCGTTAAACTCGTTCTATATTAAAACGTCCGGCCGAGAGCCGAGAGCGGCAAATCAAAGAGGGATCTCGCATCGGGAATATCGATCGCGTGGGCCGCCGAGTAAATTGCGACAGATGCGCAACGAGCGTGCGATTTGACGCGACTAACGAGCGCGTTGCGTCGCGCGCTGCGCGAACGAGCGAGCGTTGGTTGCGTTCGCAGAAATGCGGATGAGTATCGTGTTCCATTGGCATCCGAATATCGAAGCGATGAGACGCCGGGGAGTCTCGTCGTTAAGCGAGCGAGTCGCTCGCACGAACGAGCGACTCGCTCGAAAACGGAGGCGGTTTCTCTCGGCCGGCGAAAATAGCCTCGCGAGGCTGATCCTCAAAGTCGATCGCGCTCATTAAACAGATTAATCTCTGATCTCTCGCGCGACGGAGGCGCTACACCATCGAAAGTCGCGGCGCACGTTCGCGCGGCGGGAATTAGAAGCTCGACAATAATTAATCTGGGTCGTTGCTGACGGCTAGACGAATCGATACATGATGGCGCGATCCACTTTTCCCGGCTACAATGTAGTGGCGCTCGGTTAATGTTTCCCTCCGCGGCGCGCGGTCCGGACGACGCGAGATTCGCCCTGCCGTCTGTCTGAAATTGTTCGCCCCGTCGACGACGAGACTCGCCGCGTAATCGCCTCTGCGCGACAGCCAATCGCGAACTGACCCGGGTCAAACCCGCGCGGAGGATGAATAATTAGAATTAGAATCTGCTGCATCATGCCTCGGAGGATCAATCCTGGCCGGGCGACAAGCGGCGTCAGTGCAAAAGTGCTGCGCACGATCGATGAGAAACGAGAAGAGGAAGAAGATGCAATATGAACAGACGGATCGGGTGTACTCGAGTGAGAAAAGATTGAAAAACGAAAAATCGATCGGTCAATACGCGAGGACGAAAAAGAGAACGATAAATATGCACGATGGAATGCAAGATTGCACACGTGCGCGAGCGAAAGATAGGGAGGGAGGGAGAGAGCGAGAGAGAGAGAGAGAGAGAGAGAGAGAGAGAGGGAGAGAGAGAGGGGGGAGAGAGAGAAAGAGAGAGAGAGGGAGAGAGAGAGAGAGAGAGAAGTGCATCCAGAGTACACCTTAAAGCGAGAGAATATCGATCGTTCCGTTCGTCACGATCCGATATAATTGGTCTACTTTCGCGCGCATATATATATATATATATATATATTTATATCGCTTCTATGTAAGAATCGAGAAATAGCCAGAGCGAGCTTCCCCGACAAGTAGAACGAGATGGTATTTCCGCGCACGGCGAGGCGATTGTGCAGCGCGGCGTCGGGAGTAACGCGTGCGTGTTTCCGCGAAAAATCGCCCGGCGAAAACTCGTTACTCCGTCGATCCGGCAGCTAGCTCGTGGACGACAGAAAAGCTCCGCCGTTGCTTTCGAACGCTCGAGGGGGACGTGTAATGTTTGAAGGTCCGCGAACGTTTACACCCACATCACCCACACACGTGCGCGCTTTTCACAGCGGCGTTCGCGCTCGGCTGTGCCTAAAAATTAATTGAAAGCGCACGGTGTGTGCATTGAAACCGGCACCGTCGTCGTCGTCCTCGTCGTCGTCGTCGTCGTCGTCACCGCCGCCGCCGCCGCCGCCGTCGCCGTCGCCGCGATGGCAATTTCGAGGGTTCGTGTACATTGGCGTCTTGCGAGCGCCGAGGACCGCCGCGTGACCCACTTGCTTAAACGCTGGCGAAATAATATTCCGACGCCGTGAAAGAGAGAGAGAGAGAGAGAGAGAGAGAGGGGGGAGAGAGAGAGAGAGAGAGGAGGGGAGACGCCGGGCGTCGCCATATATAAGGTATCCCGTCTCGACGTCGTGGCCGTTAATGACAGATTCCTCCGGAGGCGAATCGAATTTGCAAACTTCCCCGCTCCGGACGACGGGGAGACCAAAGAGCTTCCTCGCGGAAAGGCTTCCCGATCGGCGAGATTAATCCCAATAGTGATTCCGTCGGCGTTAATGACGAGCGAGTTCCCGAGCCCGCTCGTCACACCGTGTATACGCGCTCGAGACGCGTCCGAACTGTGCCGGGGGAGAAGAAGAAAAGCACGATGCACACACAACGGTACACGCTCAAGTGTCGGCGCGCCGCATCGACTGCGCTCGCATGCCACTAAACGCCACGGCCGCAACTTTTCGCCGCGACCGCGATACACCGGCCGACAGCGGAACGCGGAACGGAGCGGTGCTTTTTTTCCCCCGAAAGAATAGCCGTCGCGCTCTCGATACGGCAAAAGTGGAGCACGCGGAGCGATGAATCAAAAGAGTCGCGCGAGGCGCGTCTTTCCGTCGCGCGACCGCGGACGCGTAATGTATCGAGCATATTGATGCGGCTGTCAAAAGAATAGCAGCAGTCAACCTGGCGGTAACGACCCGCGGTAATGAACCCGAGGTTTCAAAGCGGGCGAGAGGGCGAATGTCAGATTTCTTCCTCTTCTTTCCCCCCTCCCCCCCCCCCTTCTTCTCAAAGCGTCAACTTTTGCAGCGATTCTTCGTCACGGCAAGACGCGCGCGTCCGACTCGTGTTCCGCCGGCGTACTTCATCGATTCGAAATTCGCACGCTCGTGGAAAAAGCGAAAGGCTCATCCACACGCCCCCGCGCCGGACGCATTCCACATCCCTGAGCGGGACGCGGGCGTAACCGCCCGCCTTGTATCACCGCCGTGAGTCACGCGAGACATTTGGAAACACGGTCACGTTTTGGCAAAAACAATACTGCTTATTACCGCGAGTGCAGGCAACCCCCGGGCATTCGTCGTAATCGACTGACGCCGTGGCTTTTCACGTTCGAAACGCGCCCGCGCGACCTTTCTCCCCCGCTCGGCTGCTCTAAAAATGTTGGACCCTCGCGTGTATCAGTCGTCGTTGCCGAACTATCGCGATTTTATCTCGACTGTCTGCGCCGCCGCCGCTTCCAAGTTGATGCGTATTAATCCACAGAGAGAGAGAGAGAGAGAGAGAGAGAGAGAGAGAGAGAGAGAGAGAGAGAGTGGGAGGGGAGAGAGTCGCGCGTTAATCCCACAGAAACTACTTCATCAGCCCTAATGGACAGAATGGCGTGTGGAATTCGCCGAATGGAACGTTCCATTTCCATTTCCGTTTCCAGCTCCGTTACGTTATATCGATGATCTATCGCAGGGACTTATCAAGGCCAATGGCTCCGCGGCATGCGCCACGGGTACGGGGTGAGAGCGAGCGCGCCGTTCGGCTTGGCGAGCCACTACAAGCCGCCGAAGCAGGTGAGGGCGTCCCTGACGTCGTTGAGGAGCGCCGACGGGGGACCGGCGGTCGCCCCGACGCCGGAGCCTACCGACAGGAGGGACCGTCGCGTGGACGACAGCCGGGGGGGCTTCGTGCTGAAGGCTAGGAGCGACGACCCGCCCGCCCGGAGAAAGAGCCTGACGGAGAAGTCCCTGAAGAAGGGCATCCTCTCGGTAAGAGACGCGCGGCTTTCCCGCGACGAGTTGTCGCGCGGGGGGGGGGGGGCGAAGGCGAAACGCTTCGGAACTAACGGAACTGTCCCACGTCGATGCAGGGTCTCAAGATACGGAAGCAAAGGAGCACGGGCGACCTGGAGAAGCGCGGTACCGGCGGCAGTATTAGAAGCAACGCCAGCTCGGCGTCGTGGATGTCGACGGAGAGCTCGCAGAGCCAAGCGTCGGCGTCGGTTCACACGGACAGCAACGCGTCCTTCGTCATCGAGGTGGGTGGTGGTGGTGGTGGGACTTGATGGGCACCTCGCGCGAAATAAAAGGTCGCAAAGGTAGGGACTCGATTACTCGCGCGAATCACTAACCGTGCGACGTGTCGATTCGCAGGACGAGCAGATGGACGCGTCGGTGACCGAGACGTACTTGGGCGAGTGGAAGAACGACAAGCGGACCGGATTCGGCATCTCCGAGAGGAGCGACGGCCTGCGATACGAGGGCGAGTGGTTCAACAACCGAAAGTACGGATACGGCGTGACGACGTTCCGCGACGGCAGCAAGGAGGAGGGCAAGTACAAGAACAACGTGCTGATCACCAGTCAGAAGAAGAAGCACCTCTTCTTGATCAGGTCCGCGAAATTCCGCGAGAGGATAGAGGCGGCCGTGAGCGCCGCTCAGCGAGCGAGCAAGATCGCCCTGCAGAAGGCGGACATCGCGATCTCCAGGACCGCGACAGCGCGAGGTAAGGCCGAGCTGGCCGACATCGCAGCCGAGCACGCTCGGGAGGATTCCGAGCTGGCGCAGCAGACGGCGAGGCAGTTCGCGCCGGATTTCCGGCAGCCGGGTCTCGAGAGGCTGCGAAACCGGGAGATACCCAAGTACGTGCCGCCGCCGCAGGACACCGTGCCCGGCAAGAGCATCCTGCACAAGGCGGCGAGTATCGATCAGCCAGGAGTCACGCCGATGAAGAGCGCCTCGTCGACCGTCGACTCCGCGATCACGGCGACGATGGCGGCGGCGACGATAGCGATGACAACGACGACGACGAACGCGATGCCGGCAGCGAGCACCACCGCCAGCAGCGTGATGCAGTCGATACGCAGGGCCAGTATGATGAAGCCGCAGAACCAGCTGGCGGCGAACCTGCCGAACCAGATACCGGCGGCCGCACCGCTGGCGAACCAGGCGATACCGGCCATGATGAACCAGCTGAACGCGCAGCCCAGCAGCCTCAGCCAGAATCCGTACCAGCAGTACCCGCAGAACCTGCCGCCGAGTCAGTACCCCAATAGCATACCGAACCAGTATCAGCCGCATCAGTACATCCAGCAGAGCCAATTCGCCCAGGGCGCTCCGTACCAGACGCAGTATCAGCCGACGAACCCGCCACAGGTCGATCAGTACTCCGGTTATCAGCAGCAGCAGCAACAGCAACAGCCGATGGGCTTTCAAAATTTGCAGGCTTATCCCAGTCAGCAGCAGGTGACTTGGCTCTCGCGGAGTCTCGCCCCCTCCCCCCCTCCCCCCGCGCCGCTCGCGTTCTCGTTTCCGCTGTCGCGTTCTACCGGCGCAGCTTCCCGCCGCGCGCGATATTACCTTGCCGTTCGTCGTCGATCTGCGTGCGAACGCGAACGCGAGCTTGCCCGTATAGTGTGGCCCGCGTCGACGACGTGTCTCTCTCTTTTTCTCTCTCTCTCTCTCTCTCTCTCTCTCTCTCTCTCTCTCTCTCTGTCTCTCTGTCTCTCTGTTTCTTTCTAGATTTCGAGTCCGCAAGCGCCGGTTACATACGATCCAATGACTCTCGCCCAAGTCAGTCAATTCGGAGCGCAGCTTTACGGTGTAAGCAAACCCCCACACAGATTGAGTCTCCCCCTTTTCTCGCCTTGCCCTCGCCCGTAACCGTGCGAGAGAGAGAGAGAGAGTTCGCTTCCGCCTGCGAGTGACACGCTACGCGCTTAACCCGCCTCAGCGATCGCTAGCGATCAGAGTCATTAACCGACAAGCAAGTCCGTCCACGTCATTTCGAGTGGCGCGCATGTTTTCCGCATGAGGTTTCCGCAAGCCCCGTGCAGCCCCGAATCGTTGGGCTGCGACGAGCTGCCCACCGTCCGTTCTCTCTTCAGCAAAGCACACGATTGCGAGCGGTTGCACCCGATTACCCGATGAGCCTGCATAATTTTGCCAGTCCCTAACGACGCGCGTCACAAGCGCGACCGAACAAATACAGGAAGGACTCGCCGGATCGCAATCCGCCTCGTCGTTTCTCGCTGATCGTTCGTCGCGACAGCCTCTAGCTGCTGAGCGACTGACGACGACGACTGACGACTAACGTTTAGACACTAGACACACTGCAGTGGCACTAGTTTCTAGCGACTACTAGACTTTTCCCTCCGGTCCCATTCCGGTAGCCGTAGTTCCGAGGAGAAACGACGAGGCGAAGGAGCCGTGTATTTGTTCTCGCGACACCGCGGCGAGAATTCACCAGCGCGCAGTTGCTGGAGCAACGTGAAATCGCTTTCAGACCGCAGTACCGAATCAGTACGGGCCCGGCCAGACGAACCAGTACAATTCGCCAGCCATGTACACGCAGCAACCGTCGCAGCAATACCAGCCGGACGGTATGATCGCGGACGGGACGAGGCCGCCGAGTTCCACGAGCTTGCGGAGGAACAGCCGAGTGCTGAGCCCGCAGGATCGACCCGGCACGATCGGCCAAACGCTGAACGACAGGTTTCTTTCGATTAGCATATCTTTCGTAACGCGCGAAATTGCTGCGTCACGGCACGTGTGCCACGCTTGACAGCAAGCCGAGTAATCATCGCGTTACGCTTCGCAGGCTGGATCACTACAAGAGGCCACCCAGTCGCGACAGTTCCGTGGATCGTTACGCGAGAGCGCATTCCCGACTGACCGGATCGAGGCAGCCGTCCGTCGACAAAACCATACCGAATCCAGCGACGGACATGCTCGACAGGTGAGTGACGCGACGCGGGAGCTGGACCGGCGCATTTTCCGCGCAAGAATTCGTTGGTTGGTTGGTTGATTGGTTGGTTGGTCCGCGTCGTCCTGCGCCTCGTTGCGTCTCTATTCGCGCATCGGCCGCGAATCGGCATGAGACACGAGAGGATTGAGTACGACTTTCCGACTGTTGAGCCTTACCTACAATGTACTCTTTTGCTGTCTGTTTCCTTCTCGCTTTATCGCTTCCTCACTTAAACCTTATGTCTCAAGATAGAAGAAGATAAAAAGTACAAGAAACAGGAAGCGGAAGCATAGATCAGTAGATCAGGCTTAAAAGATATCCCCCGCGCGGAGAGGCGAAACGTCGGAAACTCGAAAGCACTCTCCGCTGGCCTCGCGTCGGCGTCGGCGGTTCTCTTCTTGTGATTTCCCGCGAATGAGCGCTTGTTTTCTGCGACTGACAGATCGACGAGAGCTCCGAGCGCGATCCGAGCGGGAACGCCGCTCAACGGCTCCGTGGTGGGCAGCGGCGCCGCGACGCCGACGTACACGGCGCCGACTCCTAGCCAATTCGAGGGGGCCCTTATAAAGAACCGAGGCCTTGGGCAGGACATTCTGCCGAGTCCTGGACAGCCTAAGCGCACCGAAAGCCTCTACATGGCTCAGCCTCGCGGACCGCTCATCGGCGGTGGCGGTGGCGGCGGCGGTGGCGGCGGCGGCGGCGGCGGTGGAGGTGGTGGAGGTGGGGGTGGCGGAGGTGTCATGCCGAAGGTGAGTTTTTACTTTCTCATGTTTCTGCTTTCTTCGCTGTGTTTTACACGTGAGTGTGCAATATGTACACACGTACATGTAACGCGCGCCTCCATACATCCGTAGCTCGCGTAACGACGACGCGTCCTGGCACTCGCGTCCTTCGTCCTCGGGAGGCGAGTCGCGCATCTGCCGATCGTGTCGTTCCGCGGAGGATCCGCTCGTTTCTCAAGATCGCGCCTCGGCGGCAACGATCCGCGAACTATCGGCAGGACTTTGACGTCGATCCTTTTCCGCGCAGCCTCGCGGCATTGCGCTCGCAAGCATTGCGAGAGCGGCACTTCGTCTCGCGAGCGCGAGTGTTGTTATTTATTTTATTCGGGGGTACGTACTTTCGCAAAGAAAATCGCTGCGGGATCGTTTCTCGCCGTTTACCGGCCGCGAGCTCCTGCGTCGTTTCAAACGAGAATGTCGAGTGCATCCTCTCGGACGATCTCGAACGGCGAGTCGCGGAATCGGACGGCGGCGGGAAACGGCGCGATTCGGCGAAGCGCTTTCCTCCGGAGCTCGCCGAGAAACGAGACGAGACGCCGTTCCAGGACCGAGGTCGGAAATAACTTGGACGATCGTCGCGCGTCAAATAAGACAACCATCGCCGTTCGACGTTTCGCTGCAATTTTCCGATAATCCCCGACAGGGGATTCCTCACGTACACGTCGAACAGTAACGAACGAATTCATTCCTCGCAGCGGACGCGCGCGTTGCACGACGATGGGCTTTCCACGCGCGAAATTAACGTCGTTAATTAATGCCATCACTCGTGCGCGAGTCTTGTCTTCTCTTTTCTTTCCCACGGTATTTCGGTGTGTCAACTTGACAAACTTGCACGTGTCTCTTTTTTATTTTCTTTCTGCATTGCTTACTTGGCGCAAACAATAGCGCAATTGACGCACAACCGCCGGAGATCAACGATTCATCGCGACGATAATAAGCAATGATACGAGCGATTTAGTCGTAGCGTTCGTTAATTAAATATTATACAGTCTCTAAATCACTTTCGATTTGCGATAACGACTCGTAGCACGTCAAACAGCAGTCGCGTCGAAGTTTCTTGCTCGATCTCGCGTCGCGGATGTTCCGAAATTTCCTTCTCGTGACTCGATTACAATCACCCCGCCCGTGATTCTCTACATCTTTTACTTGAGATATATATTTCTTGCACCTCGCCTGCGTTCTCGACGCACCACCCACCCCTCCTCTCACCCTAGTTTCCTCCCCCGTTTTCTCTCGTTCGGATTTTTCTCACCAAATCGCCTCTTTTTCTCTTTTTCTCTCTCCCTCTCTCTCTCTCTCTCTCTCTCTCTCTCTCTCTCTTTTTTATCTAGCCTACCTTATCTATCTTTATATATCTTTTGTTCTCTGTCTCGATTTGTCTGTCTGTGTAACTGTGTGGCGTTTTGTGCTGTGTTCTGTGCATGCCATCCCAGGACGCAAGCCGGACGGTCCCCGCCTTCGCCGCAACGTCAAAGAGCCGCGCAACCCTATGAGTATAAGTATATAATATGTATACAGAGCGATGAGATATATATATATATATATTTATAGCGGTTGGCGAGGAGGCGCAGCTACTCCGAGAGGCTCGTTCGCGTCGCGTCGCGTCGCGTCGCGTCGCGTCGCGTCTCGAGCCGAGTCGGCTGAGAATCGCGGCGCGCGATTCCGCTCGCCGTCTCGTTTGTCGAGCGCGGATACGGAAGAGAAATTAAGTTCCGATAACGATAAGATGTCTCGAGACGGCACACGCGTCTCGCGGGGATCGACGATATTTTTCTACGAATTTACGAACCCTCCGCAACACACGTCCCCCCGATGATGTCGCCTTAGCCGGAGGCAAAATGCGCGGCGAATGTGCGGTCAGCTCGACGACAACAACAACAACAACAACAACAACAACAACAACAATCGCGAACGGTTAGATCGCAACTGGTGCGGCTGTCGATGCGGGCAGAACCGACTCGTTTGCATATTGACGCGAGGTACGTTCGCGTCGGTGTGATGAGAGCGCGATGAGAACGTAAATGTTGAGAGCTAGGTTTCCAGAACGGGAAATCCGAAAGGAACAATCATTCACAGTGACGGGTCACTTCGTGGAGGGTCATTGACCGCGTTTGGAACGCTCAGTAAGCGACTCGGTAATTTGGTGGATACACATTTACGTCTCGGATGGATCTTGAACGCGTATGCGAACCGATTGGACTGACGAATCAGCGGTCGCGCGATTCGGCGGAACGAAACGGCTTAATAAGCCCAACAAGTGAGTAACTTGATTGGTAAATAATTGGAAATCCGATTGGTGCGTGCAGACGTGAGATACAGAGAGAGAGAGAGAGAGAGAGAGAGAGAGATACAAACGCTAATCGGATCTACCACCAATCACTGGTCGCTTACTAAGCGTTTTCCTCTGCGGAAACGCAGCCGCTAGTCGTTTGTTAAGTGCTTCGTTCCGCGATAGCCATTGTTGCTATGTAACAAGACGCTTGCTGGAGGAGATACTTGTACCTGGTAGATCGCTATTAGTCGCTAACTTTGCCGCGTCGTCGGACAATAAGAACCCTTGTCGAGATGAAAGTCGCGATCGAGTGCAGCGCATTCTCGAGACGAGCAATGCGTATTTCTGGAGAATAAACTTATTTTTCTATAGAGGGGGAGAGAGAGAGAGAGAGGGAGAGAGAGAGAGAGAGAGAGAGAGAGGGAGAGAGAGAGAGAGAGAGAGAGAGAGAGGCAGAGGCTCTCCGCGAACGAGGCGGATCGTTATATTGGACGAGTCTAAAAGTCACGTCGGTGTTCCGATGGACGGCATCACGAATGTTAGCGAGTGGCAACGATGGCCCACAAATGTTAATGTCGAGTTCTCCTAACCTGATCGTCTCTCTAAGTGTATGGTTGAATTTTTTGGCAAAGCTTTAACGAACAGTTTGCATAGAATGAGCAGTGGAAGAAATCACATTTTCGCTCTCGCTCTCTCGCGGAATATGGGCATCATTGGGAGTCGAGCGTTAAGAAAATAAGAGTTGAAAAAAAGGAAGTCGTTGAGAGGAACGTTGAAAGACGGTAGAGAGGAAGAAACACACTTGCAAAATTTATGGAGGAGATGTGCTCATTCGGACGTGCGAGGGACGATTTAAAAAATGTCAACGATAAACATACGCGACACCGCGGCAGATTTATGAGAGTGAGTAACGACGAGTAATTCGCATTCATTCCACGCAAATCCGCGAATTTCGGTGCCGAGAGAACGGCCGAGACGTGGCGAACGTGGCGTATGAGAACACGTATGGCCATTTTTGCGAAACTCTACTACAGTCTGAAGTCTCACGTTGGAGTGGCGCATGTTTTAAGCGGAGAGAGACCGCGTTTCTTTGTTCTCCGACAAACCGAGCGGCCGACCGGTCGCCTTTTAAAACGTGCGTTCTAAAACGCTGAAACGTTGGAAGAGGAGGACCTCGTGAAAAACGAGGGGGGGAACGATTATTCACGGAGTAAATAAATCGCTTCGAGTACGAACGGACCGATCGATCTGTGCACAGCGGAAGATCGCCGTAACTTTCCGATTCGTCCAATCATAAACGCGCGAACGCGATCTGGAGTCATTGATCATCGGTATTAATCTTGGAATGGCCCGTTAATTCCCGTCGAGTTTGATTCGACGATAGCGCGTGATTAATGCGCGGAGAACATTTTTTCGTTGAAGACGCAAGACGTACCGAGGTGCGAGAGATAGCGGATATAATCCGCTTAATTCACCGCGGAGACGGAGATATCGCCGCCCGTTGAGATAAGGAGCGCCGTTTCATTCCAGGATTAAATGAACAATGATCGAGACGCCTGGGCAGAGAAGGAACGGCATAGAGAGCCTCTCCGCGAGAGAGAGAGAGAGAGAGAGAGAGAGATATCTTAGATCGCGTTTCGTCTCTCCCGACGTCGAGACGTCGAGACGTCGAGACGTCGAGAGTTGACCGTCGCCGGCGAACGCTACCGCGGAGAAACGGAATGACACGCGACGGCAATTTGCAAATTTCGCAACGTACGCTTGCGAAAATTGGCAGATTGGCAGCGGACTCGCGTTGCATCCCCCACACGTTGTATCAGCTCGAAACGCGATCTATAAGCGCTCGTTGGGCAATAATAAATGCGAGATCACCGACGGACCAGTCAACGAACAATAAACGCTACGACACCGTATACAGTATAGAGTAGCTTTCGGTTTTCGCGAGAGGAAGCGGCCGAGAGAGAGAGAGAGAGAGAGAGAGAAAGAGAAGAGAGAGAGAGAGAGAGAGAGAGAGAGAGAGAGAGCTCCTCTTCGCGATTTGTGTCTCTTCTTTTTGTTTCTTTCTTTCTTTCTTTCGTGCTCGTTCGACATAATATTATAGTCACAGCGGAGACGCGCGTGAGCGCGACTGTATTTGCAAGTATAAACGGATATGTCTGTGTATATGTATATGTATATGTATAGACACCCGCGCGCGCACACACCGAGTAACGAGCGTAAGCCAAAGTGGAGCGACACGTGAATTGGCTCCTTCACTTTGTACGCGGCTGAGAAGCGCGCGGCGAATCCGCGCGCTCGCTGCTTCTCTACATTACACGAGACATTCCGTTTCCTGCGAGAACGGCCGACCGCGGCGCTTGACAATTAGACCTGCGTTGATTTCATGCGCACACGCGAGTGTGCGAAATAAACACGCACACACACACACACACACACATACATACACACGCACGCACGCACGCACGCACGCACGCACGCGCGCGTGCTGATAACCGAGTTAAGAAGCGCGAGCGCACCGCCCATTAAGATCGCACTAATTAACGGACCTCGAAAGGTAAGCTTAACGCGCGGCGTGGAGGCGGGGACCAGTTTTTGCTCTTCGATTCTCTATTTTAACCTTCTTTAATCATATTTTAAGCCTCTTTCGACCCCACTTCCGAAACCCGTTGTCGCTAGTCACCCTTCCTGGCCGATCGATACCGCAATCTCGATCTGTGTACACTTTCGGGTATCGCTGCTACGGTCTCGCCCTTCTGTGTTCAAATTCCGACGAGCGCGACGTCGTCGGCTGATTGACATCTCTCTGCGACTGATTACAGCTTACTTATTAGATCGCTCTTAACAGACACACTGTGTGGTCGGTAGCGCGTCGAGGGATCGCAAGCGCGCTCAGACAAGCGCTTCACGAGAGACTCTCTCTTTGTACCTCCACCACCTCCACGCCGCTTCTTTTTTCCTATTTTCTGGCCGGAGACGTTGTTTCTTTCTTCTCAACGCATGCTTGTACGACTGTGGCGAATCTGAGTCCTATGTATCGATGCCATGCGCGGTGGTGTTACTCGTTAAGATGAAAGTAATCGCCAGGAAAGAGACGTTCGAGATATACGAAGTGAGCCTTAAAGCGTGCAGGATCCTAATTACAAGTACGATACTTAGTCGTCGTCGTCGTCGTCGTCGTCGTCGTCGCCAGTTCGTTAGTGTATAATACGTGCGTTATACATTGTACAGTACGTTACCCGTTTCACACTCGTCGCGCACACGCATACACGTACGAATCATCGCGTAGAATAATCCGCCGCCCACGCCGCACGCAGTTAACGCGAGGAGAGAAAGACACGTGCCGAGAGTACGAAGGCTTATCTTGCATAGGGGAGGAGGAGGAGGAGGAGGAGGAGGAGGAGGAGGGGAGCGGGAGGAATAGTGGGAGCGGGAACGTGGATCTTACTGTTGCCTGTGTTAAAATATACTTGTATGCCGTCTGTTCTTTACACGCGCAAATACGTCCAAGTTACGATACCGTGTACATTTCGTATAAGTAAGACTAATTACTCAGACTATCACGTGCGGAGATAATATAACGAAGATTGCGTACGATAATAAGAATAAGATGTAAGGCAAGATGATACCCGCAGCACACTGCGAGCCTAATTCCTTTATAAACGGCCTACATACACGATCGGCACGACAGCAGACAGATTCTAAAACGGTAGAAATCGTACGAAAAGGAAAATCGAGCGTTGAGACTCGGACGCGATCAGACGCTCCTTCTATTTCGACGAATTAATTAAACTATGGAAGAATACTCGCACTATATTTTCGTACAGGGCCGATTTAACGATTTTTTATATATGTACATTAACACCTCAAGTGACAAGTCGTAGTTCCAACCAAGAATAACGACAGTTGCGAGCGGAGAGAACGAGAGAGAGAGAGAGAGAGAGAGAGAGAGAGAGAGAGAGAGAGAGAGAGAGTGTGTGTGTATGTATATCGCGCGAGAGGAAGATGTAGAATCCGCGCGAACCGCGATTTTTCAGACGCAACATTCCCAAACGGTTGAATTTTGACTTAAGTCGTTAATCCACCCATCAATGTGTTCAAGTCACACGCTTAAGATGAGACGAGCCTCGCGCAGTTTGATTGTTCGAAAAACGAGAGAGTACAAAGAAGAAAACGCAGCACGGAGAGAGGGAAGTGACATTGCGTCAACGTTGACACGCGAAAATAGCGCTTTTCCTAATCCCGCACAATCGAGTGCCAATCTCGCAAAGAGTGTCGTTTCTTTTTCACGTCACGAGAGCGCTCTCCCAGATAAACCCCGGCTCGTCGGATAATTGTGTTTTTAGTTGATACTTAGCGCGCGATGCACAATTCCTTTGTCGATACGTAGTCGTACACATAGATGTAGGAGGTCTCGAACAAAGGCGCGGAGTAGACGATGTGTATGCACTTGGTAAATTCTCAGATTACATTCCCCGAGAAGAAAAAAACGTCGATTTAACCGTAGAGATTATACCGATTTCCGTTCGCGAAAGAAGAAGAAGGAACAAAAAAACAACGATACTGCAAACGTTGATTCGATGTATTGAATGTATTTATGTATACGATGTATAAGCTGTCACAGTGAGAACAGATTAAAGAACACCGCGTAAACCGGATTTCTTACTCGTTCACCGGCGATTTTCTTTCTTTTCCTGGTAGAGTCGACAGGCGTTCGCGCGAGATCTCCGAGATTTGTAGAGTGTCCGCAGAAGCCGATGGCAGTCGACCGCGAAAGGCGCGATTAATCAGGTTGCTAAAATATGCTTGTCTCGCGTAATGAGATGTTAATGTCCCAAGGTTCACCGCATGTATGTGCAATATCAAAATGGGAGTCATGGGCGATACAGAAATAGGAGAGAATAGCGAAGTAAAGAATGAAGATCGCGCGATATCGTCTCCGTAAACGAGGCTATATGCTAATTCCGGCGTTAATATTAATTTCCTTATTATTAATTCCCATGGCTCACGTTATCTCGTTGTTGGGAGCGCGACGTAACGCTTACGAAAGGCAAAAAATTCACGCGCGCGCCTGTCATTCGCGGGGCGAAATAATACAACGAGAAAGTTTCGGACGACGCCCCTTCGCAAACCGCCCTTCATTTTTTATATCCGTGGATCGCGCGCGATCCACGAGGGAGGAGCGCGTAGCGAAAATAAGGCCGACGCAGGACGACATGGCGACACACTGTGGCATGGCGGTTGCGTAACGCGCGCATCGATCGATTCGGTTTGAACGTCCGGTGCGCGAAAACGCCGAGACGGCCCCGTGGTAATCGCGCTTCGATTAGCGGAGCTAATTAAGCGTTGCGCCATGTCAGTCGAATTGCTTGGCCGGCCGGGCGCGACTAACCGCGGCGATGAGTCGGTCGCGCTGCGTAACGCGCGTGAAATGACAGACAAAGAAATTACGAATAAGCGGGTCGTCTTCTTGGCGCGAGAAAATCCTCGAAATCTTGGACGGATTTACACGCGTGCCAAATGCGTGAGTCAGGCGGTCCGAGTTGGCGCGCCGGCTTCATTCGCGCCAGGTTATCTCCGCTGCGACGATAAAAAAAAAAGAGGCTACGCCTCGAGTTCAAGTCTTCTCGAAGTTTCTCGATATCCTTGAATACACGAGCGGCCAAGAGAAGGAAGAAAACGAGAGCGCAGCGCGCGCGCAGGGTGGAAAAGCAAAAGGAAAAGCGAGATGGAGAGACGCCCGGGCGAGAAAGAAGGTTTCGTGTTCGTGAGTGATTCACGGCGTTTCCAAGTCGGCGAAGCGTAAATCGCGCGCAAGTCGCCGAGAAACCGCGCTCGAGTTTCGTCGGATGGCTCGCTCGCTCGCGCGGCCGGCTCCTCTTCAACGTTGCGTATTTCGCTCCGCGATAGATCGGTTCTGTAAATCCAACAGACACACGACGGATCGACAGGGTTCTGGCATAGAGACAGGCGTCTCTCTATGTGGATCTCCGCGAGCGTCGCGACGTTTGGCGAAGTTATTTCGATGATAGTGGGGCGTCGCTCTATTTCGGTCGTGCTAGCCAGGGCCGTTCAGTCTGCGGCCCGGCTTCCTCATCAGGAGGCCGCGGATCAGTACTTCGCACTTTTATCCGGCCTCCTTCGTGCCGTAGGATCGTCGAAAAAACGACAAATGCACGAGCGATAATCGCAAAAGGGCGCAAAAGGGAGAGAAAGAGAGAAAAAAGAGGGCAAACACAAACACCGCGCGATCCCTCGAATGCGCGCCTCGGAGGAGAATACTTCCGAGGGAAACTGCTGCGAAGGAGAGAATCCGCTGGCCGCGCGAAGTCTCGCCTCCGTCGAAATCCCGGACTTGACAACGGACGGCAAATACTTGAGGAGAATAGGAGTGGTTACGCGTTATTACGTTCGATACTTCCGCGCCGCGAGTTTTTCCGTTCGCTTCGCAAAGTGATATTCGCTCGACTCGAGTCGGACGCGGCTTGAACGGCTCAATCGCGAAGCCCGGTCGCGTCGCAGTGCAACGAAGTTAATCGGTCGCAAAGCGCCGCTCGATCGCACCGTCGTCGTGGACGTCGAGTGATGTAATTCGGCGACGCGAATTGCAACTTGCTGCGATTCCCGGCTGCGGGGCAGAATCCGCCGCACGACGGACCGTCCACTCGTGCGGCACAAATTGCGTATTCCGGCGAAAAAGAGGGAGCTCTCTGTGATTCAGAAGGGAAAAAGCACTGGCGGCAAGATTGCCGCGACCGAGGGCTGACGGAGAGAAGTCGAGAGAATAGAAGCCGCGCAGGAAGCAGCATTCTTCTCCCCCGGCGGAAGGGACTCGAAAGGTCTTTTATCAATTTGAGAGCATTCTCGGACCGTCGCCGTCGTAGCAACGATCAGCATGTTTTGGGTCGAGCCTGACGAAGAAGAAGAGGCGCTGCTATGCAGCCCCGCTTTGATGGCCAGACGGGCCTCGGAGTCCTGGATCGTCGCACCTCCCGTGGAGGTACACGAGGAATGCCCGTCTCTCTCCCTTCGACCCTCCGTCCCTTCGTTCTAACGACGAAATATATCTGCGCGAAATAAACGCGCGACACGTCGCGGTGCGGAAAAGCCGACGAAGATAAGATCTTCTTCTCACGGTAAAAGGCGCGACGGTTAACGGAGCGACGAACAAAGGCGCTGTTTGTTCGCGGCAATTCCTTTAGGAATTACTGACGGTCGGAGAGGGTGAAGGAGGGTTTACATGGAGTGAAACGCGTGAAACCCGGCTCGCATCGGAGACGCTTGGACTATCTTGGACGGATTACGTAAATAAGGCGCTGCGACGCAGGTGCGTCGCATCGCGTCGCTCGTTAACCGTCGTCGTCCTTATCGCGAAGGCCGCAGACGCGATGGCGTGACGACGCGCGAAAATGCCCGGCGCGAAACGAGAGGTCCGAAACGACGGCAGCGGCGCGCGGTCCTTTCTCTCTTGCTCGCGTCGTATATCGCCGCGGCGAGAGATGGAGCGTATATTGCGATTGCGCAAACTTTGGCGAGTTCGCCGGATGCAACAATCGCGGGAACGCGCGTAAAGTTTTCTCGCCGTCTCGAGGAGACGGTAGATACGCGCGCGCGCGCGCGCGCGTACTTGATTCTTGGCTGTGCGAAAGAACATCGATCCTTGCGATCGGCCTCGCGAAATCGCGGGCAGCACGATGGATATTTCCCCTCCTTGGCGCTGCGAGTCTCGTAGATTTTGGCTCGTTCGTGCGACGCGACCAGTCGTCTCGAAAATGCCCAGATCCCTTCGGCTCTTGCAACGAGGAGAGATTCGGCGAGATTTGGAATGTCGGCTCTTGACTTTGGAACGGCCCCAAGACCCCCTCCCCCTTTCCTCCCTACAGTTCCCGATTTCCGCTAGTACTCTATATCTTTTCCCCATTATCCGTTGCATCCGCACGAGGGGCCAAATTAACGGAACGCGTACACTAGGAAAAATGTATTGTTGCGTGTAAGCCAAAATTTTGTTGTAACAACAAAATAATTTGGCTAAAATGTGCCCAACAAAACTGTTCAGTCCCTGTAAACAAATATCTTGTTTGATTACGGTTTGTTCGTATAACGTAATACTTTTGTTAGCAGCAACCAAAAAGCTTTAACTACATGAATTTTGTTAAAAAATATTATGATTTTTTCTTAATATATAAAATGTAAATTTTAGTGCACAGAAAGACAGAGCAGTATCCTTTTGTGCATTATTTTAGTTTATGTAAAATAATATTCCGTTATTATGTAATTTTTATGGATAAAATAACTAAAACGCTTAATTTTTATATATAAAGTCTAAGAACAAAATCATTTGGTCCAGAGAACCAAGAAAAGCAGAAAAATATATTTAGTTGAGACAACTAAATATTTTCTTACATAAAACAAGATATTTGATTGCTATTAAAAAATGCCTCAACTAAACAGTTTTGTTAGAGATACTAAATTTTTTTTCCTAACTAGTGTAATATCGTCGCGTAGACCGGTTTTGTGAGGCCAACGGAACTCAAAGTCAAGATCTAGACTTGACCCTTTAACGAGCCACGGTTGTATTGTTCGGACTAATCCGCCGTTGGATTTGGGAGGTTGAATGAAAATGCTCGATTACCCAAAAGCGCAGTAATAGCGCGAGACATTCGTAGAGTCTGAGAACGATCCTGCAAAGTACGACGCGTTTAATGCGCTTTAAAGCCAGTCTGTTTCACGTAAGCGATGTCTCGAGATGATCTTGATTCAACGGGGCGTGCCGTTAAGCGTCTCAGCGAATACATTTCGCGAAACGCGATCTCCGAACGCTGCGGTCTCTCTCGAGAACGGACGCTCGATCGAACGAAGAAGCAAAGCTACCTTCTCTACCTCACTTCACCTCACGGTTCAAACTAACTATTTTCACTGCTCGCTGCAAAGGTACAAGCCCCAAGTATTATACTGTCAACTCTGCCTGGCGATAGCACCGTTTTTCTCTTTCCGCTGTGTAACCGTTTGATATTTCATATACATAAGCCCGTAGCACGTATCTCTCTTCGCTAAGCGATGCAGCTGAGCGTTGATACCGACGTGCACACGTCGGTGTCCGAGTCTCGGCTGAGTACATCGCACACGTCTACCCACCTCTCTCTCTCTCTCTCTCTCTCTCTCTCTTTCTCTCTCTCTCTCTCTCTCTCTCTCTCTCTCTCTCTCTCTCTCTTTGTTTCTCGTTTCTTTCCTTCGTGCAGGCGATGCCGGCGGCGGCAATGCCACTTCAACGAAAGAAGTCACTGCCGGACGTGGCGCAGCCGATCCAGCTAACAGCCACGGCGCCATTGTCGAGGGAGGAAGTCAGTGTCCTGAGCAGCATAAGGAGAGAGGAGATCCGCAGGCAGATCGACGAGCACGAGAGACTCAGGGCCAACCCGCTTTTGTACCTGTTCAGTCCTCAGGTTAAGGTGAGCGCGCGTTGCGGTTCTACCTGGCGGCGGCTGGAGAGTCCGTCGATGTTGACAATGACGCGATCGCTCGAGGGACGAGAGGCGCGCGCGCGGGACGGCATTTGCGGTGCGGCGTATTGCGGTTTATTTCGGGTCGCGGATCCTGCCCTCCTCGGGAGCGCTGGGAAAAATACAAACGCGTCGCTCGAGAGAGACGATAATACGCTCTCACGCGAGGCCTCGGAGTCGACGGATTCACTCCCGCTCTCTCTCTCTCTTTCTGCGTCTTGTTGTCGAGAAGCCGAATACGCCAAATTCTCCGCTCTTGCGCGCCCGACGACGGCGCGACTGTATGCTCGCGAGCGAAATATGCAATACAGAGAATAAAGAATAAAGAGGAGAAGGGAAAGAAATGCAGCGCTGCGATGCGCGCCCCGTCGAATTACGCGCGCGAAAACCATTTCGTCGCTACGAATGGCTCGCGCGTCGAATAAAAGATTGGCTGTCGAGCGTGGCGACTGAGGTGGCCGAGGAAAGACGCTTAACACGATATTTCATTTACTTCCAGGACTGGTTCTCCCGGCAGCAGCTCGTGATGCTGGTGCTCTTCATCAACATATCCCTAGCCTTGATGTTCTTCAAGCTACTGACGTAGCAGCCAGCCGACGATCGGGTTCACGGACTCGTGGTGGACGTGACCTGAGACGCCGAGGCGGCGTCGCGACGACGCCTTGGGTCGTCATCGAATCAGAATTTCGACGGGGGCAACGACGGAGGGTGCGACCGCACTGAAAACCACTGGAAACAACTTTGGCGGAGCGATCTCGCTCGGTCTCGCGCGTCGCCAACGCTTGGCGCGGGAGAGCACAACCGAATTGTGAACCGACGCGGTGAACAGAGAGGGAGAGACAGAGAGAAAGCTCGAAGAAGAGGGATCAAGCTCGGGCGAGGATTTTGTCCTCGCCCGACGCAAACGATCGTGATCGACCTCCGAACGGTATCCGGGATTACGGACAATCCTGCACGCGAGAACACCGAAGCGGCGGACGGCAAATTCGGAGGGAGCATTCGCCGGGGGCGAAAGCACGTCCCTCTGAGATATCGCGAGGGATCTAGGGATAGGTTCTTGAGAGTCACCTTCGGATGCTGTAAATTGAAAAAGGATTCGACGAGCGTCGAGAGAAACGAGTTTACCGAGCGACGTGATTCGGCGGATTTCCGTATGTCCGGGAATCGCGGGATGTAACAGACGAGCCGCCTTTTAATAAAATTGTCTGCGCTTCGAAAGTTTGGCGCTTGAATTCCTCGTAATCGACGCGCGACGCGATGGTAGACGCGTCGCGGATGGATTGTGAAATTTTGTGGAAAAAAGAAAGAGAGAGAGAGAGAGAGAGAGAGAGAGACACGCAGCTCCGTTGCGCAATCGAGTCGCTCGCGCACGGAGGAGGGCGAGAGGGAGGGAGCAGAAGTCGGCGTGACTTTTTCGGAAATGGAGGACGCGTTGCGTACCAGCGACGCCTGTGTACCATACCTATTTTTACACGGAATACTTTAATAATGCTACTTGCGAGTATGTGGGTCTGCATGTGTGTGTGCGCGTGTGTATGTGTGTGCGTGTGCGTGTGTGTGTGTGTGTGTGTCAGAGTAGGTCGAGCTCTCCTCTCGGGGCGGGCCGCCGATCGATCGTGCCCGATGCGGTACGCGCACACGTTATCCCTCTTCTTTAGTAATAATTCTTCCTTCTTTTTTCCCGACAGAAAATCGGCTCGAGCGCGCGCTAACATGCGGCGATCGAATTGTTCTCCACCGATTTCTATTCTTTATTTCTCTCTATCCTCCTGTCCCGGGAAAGTCGGTCATTCACCCGAGGATGCCGGGGGCTCCCCTCGTTTTCCCGGGAAATGTACCTGTTCTCTCATTTCGAGACGGCTCTCGAAGTCGCGGCAGAACGGGAGTATCGTACTTCTTTCGACCGTAAGTGTAGCGATTATCGTTTAGCAATGATCGTAATTGTAGCCGTGATGCCGACGCGCAGAGGATAGATTTGTTGTTAAGGAGAAACGAAAAAAGACGCGCATTCGAGCATTTACATAGCGGACTACACGCCGCGCGAATATTATGACGCTAATCGCGAATTTGTAAATTGTAAGTTGTTATTATACAACGAGGAAACAGAAAGAGAGAGAGAGAGAGAGAGAGGGGAGGAGAGAGAGGAAGAGGGAGAAAAAGCGAGAGAGAGTTTTCGTAGTCTTTTAACTTGTACGAGCCTCGCGGAATTATAGTTACAATTACTATCGTTGGATACATCGGCGGGGCAAGACTCGAATCCTCCGCCTCGATTTACGTATCTCCGCGTATGATACGCGACGGGCCGATAGCACAAGTGTGTCAGCGTGACGCTGATTAAAATCGCGCGCAAATCAGGCCGAACGTTTTCGCAAACACTGAATGCGACTCGGTTTTCGGCGCGAGACCGAAGGTCGAGCATTTCTAATCGCCGACGCGGAGGTCGACGTTGCTTCTTTCTGCACACTTTGTTGCGCGCGTTCTGCGTCTATGAGACATATTCTCCCGCATCGAAATGCGGATGACGCATAACGCGATAGTCGAGACGCACAAGCGCGATAACGTCGTCGCTCATCGAGACGCAAAATCGCGTATCTTCGTATTTACAAACAGGAACTCTTGTAGATATGTCTCGAGTGTCGAAACCGGAGACGAATGAAATCCGACCTCGTTTCGGACGAGATGCCGCGGTCGTTTCGGCGGCAGACACACGATTGTTCGCGAGAGGAAAATGCACATGTACGATATACATTTGAAATTACAAGACCGCGCGCGGTCTTTGTACGCGCGCAGCGTTTTTTCTCTCCCGCGATCTCGCGCGATGGTTCAATGATCGGCCTTCCTGCGCCTCGAGCGATCGCATTTTTTTCTAGTCTCGGCCAAATAGCTTGTGTATCTCTAGATCAATTTGTAAATAATCAAATGTTAAACACGTCGACTGCGCAAAGTTCGCCCAACACCGTTCTCGCGCTCCCGATGCGAGTTTGATCGAATTATCGAGGTCATTTGTCGATTCTCCAACAGACTCGCTCTTTCTTTCCTTCTTTCGTTCATTCGTTCCAGTCCTTTTCTCATGACGAAACTAAGCTTCCTGTGCCGCTTTGACAGTGCCAATAACGTAGCTATACTATACTTCCGCGAGAGTGAATTCGATCGACGCTATCTATACCAGCGACACAGCCGGAAATGTATATTCGCATTCGATCACACGCCGTTTCAGGCGCGAAAGGACCCAGACTCGAGCGCAAGCACGCGACTCGCAAAGTGACTCGGAGATATGAGGCGAGACGAATTCGATGGAGATTGTATCGCGGGTCGATATTTCCCGCGCGTTGTCCGCGTTAATGAGCCGCGCAAGAGGAAGAAACGATTTCTCGTCCGTCAGCGAGGCGATGCGATGCTCCCCGAGCATGTCGGACGCGAACTCGTTCACAGGATCAGCGAATTCAACGACGCTGGGTCCCCTGTGTTTGGCATTCGTTCACGCGACACTGCTGGACCTGGCGGCAATTCGAACTTTGTAGGATTGCCGACAAAGGAATGCCAAAGTCAAGCAAATACCAGATGGAAGAAATGCCAAACATGTATGCCCCCAGCCGAACCGAGAGCGAATGTGACGGTTGTCCTCGTTGCTTTAAGGAGGACGGGATTACTCAGCGGAGAAAACCGCGAGGGAGAAACGCTCATAGGCACAACAAACGTCGAATGTCTTCGCGTTAGCAAAGAGGACCGACTTTTCGTCTCTCACGCGAGGCGCGTCCCGCGTAAACCTATTACTACAACTATTATCGCACGCACATTCGCCATTGTGAGATTACGTATTGTATATACATATAAAACTGAGTTGGTTAGCACGAAAGAGCAGCTATAGGAAATTTGATATCGAGAATATCTGCGCGAGATAGAAAGGAAGATGTTGGGGCAAGGAGAAAGAGAGACAGGTGTCATTTCTGCCACCAAAGCCATATCACTAATCAAAGGAAACTTACGAAATTTCTTTCGCGATTTGCGCGCGCTATACCATAATGTGTACATACATATATGCGTACATACGGTCATATGTATATTTTACCTGTTATCTCTTGACTATTATCGCAGTTAGCACTCATATCTCGTTACTATTGTATATTATTATTATTATTATTATTATTATTATTATTACTATTATACCATCGTCATCGTTACTACTATTATTATTATCATGAATTATTTGAATTATTATTATTGTCATCGTTATTATTATTATTATTATTATTATTATTATTATTATTATTATTATGGTCATGTCATCATCGTATCGACGATTACGCAGATAATTGAAACGAAAGACGAGCGTGGGAGAAATTTTGGTATTTTGCAAAATATGCGGTCACAACGCTGAAACCGGAGGGCCCACTGTCAATATTAATTTGCGCAAGCGCTGATTCAATAAACTTGTATCATAACTGATAAATGACTCTGTTATTAACGTGACGTCTTCACTTGCTCCGTCGTCACGTTCGTTCGTCGAAACAGAGTATTCGCGTCGCGAGCGAAAAATGACGCGAGTAAAGTCGACGATCGTCATTAATTGCGCGCTGGCGTGATGGCGCGACGATTTATCAGCCCTCCGCAAGCGGGAGCCAAAGGAAAGAGACAGCTGTGTACATGTGTTTGTGCGTGGTACTTTTCACGCACCCGCACGCGCCTCCCTCCCCGGTCAGGGACGTAGGAAAGAAAATCGTGCAAAATCGTGCGACGATATGCGTCTCAAACAAACAAAGTTCACTGATATTGCGCGTTCGCTGTAGTAAACATTTTCTCGGACACGACGTATCGTGACTGACGTATGTTTACGACTACCTGAGAATTGAACCTGCGCAGTTACCGAGGTCAGACCAATACAACGTAAACAAATGATTAAAACATCTAACAGCTTGTTATCATCATTATCGTGAGACGAAGTAGAGAGTTCCGATTAAATCGACCGATGTCGGAAGAAACTTCCGGAGGATTGTAGCGGCGAATTCTCTCGCAGTGCGCGTCGCCAAAGTGTCGGGGAATCTCGAGGAGCAAGCGCGAGTCTCTACGAAAACGGAAACGTTTCCTGTCGCTCGAAAAATCTCGAGTCGAGTCACGGATCGACCGCGACGAGTTCGAAAGTAAATGGCGTCCTTTCGCGAGCGCGTACGTGCCCGTTGTTTCTTACGCGATAAACTGCGAGACTGCGAGACTGCGAGATGTACACCGCGTCTATTACCGGTATCAACGTCACTCGACCGATGAATGTCAAGCAAAACGCTCGCGCGCTCGCTCGGTCGAGCTATATGGTGAGCGATAATAACAACCGAACATGCGCGCGCGCGCGCAAAAAACGGTTTCAACGAAGGAATATCAATGTCGACTGCACACGTTCTCGATAAGCGAGGCAAGGTGGCAACAGCTGCGCATATAATGATAATTTAATCGAAGAGGCTTCTCGAATACACATCAAGAGGATAGATAGATAGATACATTTTATCTTTAATGTCTGGATCATTAGCTAGAACTGCCGGTGATTAATGACTTACTTCTGACCGGAACGACGTCGAACTAACTAACGAGTATTCGCAGAAGAAAATACGCAATGCGAGGGCAGAAGTGCGTTCATTTACGCTCTTTGTTTAGTCGCATTCAACGTCAATTCGCAACCAAATGTTGTAAGTTTGATACTTACTTTCTTAAGAAATCACGAAGGAGTCACAGACTCCTTCGGTGTTTCTAGTGTTAAACGATCAAGCACGTATATACGTATAATTACGTCGCAACGCTGTGACACACACTCGGCTCTCTCTCTCTCTCTCTCTCTCTCTCTCTCTCTCTCTCTCTCTCTCGATTCTCTCACCTTCGCCGTCCGCCGTTCCGACGGGGCTCGGCTGACAACGTAGGACAACAGAGAGCCAGAGGTGTAACAACGCGATCCGCAGAGGCCAGGTTGTTGGAGTGCATAGCGAAGCCTCGACGCGAATTGCGGAGTAAGCAGTTGCAGGAACTCGTCCCGCGCTAAGATATACAAATGGCCGACTCAGAGGCGAGCTGCAGGTAAACGACGTCGTCCGTTGTTCGAGCAGCTGCACACTGACCACGCGCGGCCTGACAAGTCGCGGTAGCGCTAACAAAGGAGCCGAGTGACCTCGGAGCGCGACTCGTGCCTCGAGAAATCGCTCGTTTGACAGGTCGACCAACGGCTTTATCGCGTGAACGTGCGGCCGGCCAGAGCAGGTGATAATGTCGCGGAATGAGAGTAAACTCGAACTTTGAACGTCTAACCGGCGTGCGGCGAACAGAGCAGGTGACGCACGTTCGACATCGACGGCAGAGTGCAACGACTGTTGCGCGAAACACGGCTGGAGGAGACCAGTTCTCTGATCGCTTCCCATGCCACGTCGTTAACACTTGACATCGTTTCGGCTAGTCCGCCTACGTTGCGACGGAGAGCGGTTTCTAATTTTAAGTGAACTTCGCCGAACCTACCGAAATACACGCGCGCTGTTTGGAGTCTAGGATCCGGTCTATGATTTACCGCACGGCTCTGCGCGGAGAGAAAAGATGCGTCTGTTTCTCGCGACGGAACGCCCATCACGAGACGAGAACTCGGCGGTGACTCTGCTGGCGCGGCCGAAAAATTTCGTCCGAATATTCGGCTGCGTTCAAATCGAATTTCGATAATTAAGACAAATGACTGAATAGAAGTCCGCCGCAGGGATATTTTTGCGACCGAGTTTTTATTTTCGGCGCCCAGATGGAAGAAAACAAAAGTTGCGTCAATCAAATTTTTTCTCTCTTCGATGTAGAAGCTAAAATCCGTGCACATTGAATGGACAGTTTTTACGGCCACAAGTTTCATGGTTTGAAAGAATATTCGCTATTTCGGATTGTTCTCAATTTGCACGGGGCCCCTTTTTGTAATTGGACGCAGGACACAGGTCCCACAACTTGGTACCGCAGGCTCTAAGATATTTTCGCCGCTATTGTTACTTTCTTTCGCTCCAACTGGGCACAAACGAATCGTCCTGAAATTTTCTCACAGATTGCCCGAGACGGTAATATTATACTTTACGTCTTGATATCGTCGTATTTCTCAACTGCTCGGTTACGGGCCCTCTCTCTGTCTTGTGCCTAACTTTAAATTCTATTATTAGAAATGGAGGTTTTTAGGAACATGTGCAAGGAACACGAAGACTCGTGTCGGAAGGTCTCAGCGCACTTCCTATCTTCCTCATAATATAAATTTTCACACACTGAGGCATGTCTCGTCTTTTCTCCACACTTCTCAGATATTCAACGCGAGGAATGGCGTGTAAATGTGTAGTAAAGATTTTATCGCGACGTAATCGCAGTTCCGCCTCGGAATTGACACGGGATTCCCGCGAGTGAAATCGAACGAAACGCGTACTCTTGGCACGACGTCGCGCTACATACGACACGTTACCCGCTCCTTTATCTCTTATCTCCCCCGGTTTCTTTTTCTTTTTTTTTTTCGTTAGCGCCTGTATCGTTGTCGTGGTGGAGCCCGCGCGCACTACCGACACCGCGCGAATGAACGATAAAAGACGCGGCCGATAACCCAAGCGAGAATAGAACTCCGATCGTAACGCTACGGGGCAATGGCGTAACAAAGAAATTACGATGCAATACGGGAGACAAAGGCTGATAATAAAAAGAAAAAAAAAAACAAAGAGAAAGAGAAGTACATCCGTTGTAACCAGAACGGAAAGGTAGAGGCGTCAGAAAATTCGATCGTCCTCCCTCGCGGTCGCATCGTCGCCCGATAAAGACATTACCTCACTCGCTCGTCGAGATTTTTGTCGTTTTACGTAGCGTACAACAACACCCGGCATTGTAAAATAATCCGGTATTCCCGGGTCATTAGCTGGGATATCGATCGCGTCGCAAGTCTCCCCCCGCCTGGAGAAAATGCCACGTGAACCCGACCGAGTCCATCGACATTTTATATAGCGCGTTTTCAATGTGGAACATAGAGACAGTGCAGTAATCTAATCTGTTCTATTAAAGCCGAAAGAAATTTGTGAAATACGATACGTTGAATTTTATAAGCTGCTAATGAAGTCGACAACACGTACTGGAATGTAACGAATGATCAGGAGGTTGACTGGTTGCGCATAAAAATTCCAAAAATAGCAATTACGTTCTCGATCATTCACCATTGCGATCGAGCGATTTGTGAAGGTTCCCGTGTATGTTAGCGGCTTAAAATTCGAAAATAATGAACGCGATCACACACTTACGGGCGCGGTCACGTGTATACATCAATGATGAAGGCGATCCAGAGTCATAATGCATCTGTATATACACAGACAATTCAGACAAATTCAAGATTCAGGGCTCAAAGTTCAATATATTCATATCTATCGCTAGACACAATAACCGTCATATAATTGCAGATTAGGTCATTCTGAACAAAAAATCCTTTACCATTTTGTAAAAAGTACGCAAATTTTCAAGTTATCAAAGAAGAAGCCTAAAGAACCTCTACACTAGGAAAAATGTATTGTTGCGTGAACCAAAATTTTGTTGTAACAACAAAATAATTTAGTTAAAATATGCCCAACAAAACTGTTTGGTTCTTGTAAAAACTGTTTAGTTCTTGTAAACAAATATCTTGTTTGATTACAGTTTATTCGTATAACGTAATACTTTTGTTAGCAGCAACCAAACAGCTTTAACTATATGAATTTTGTTGAAAATACTATAGTTTTTTCTTAATATATAAAATCTAAATTCTAGTGCACAGAAAGATAAAGTAGTATCCATTGGGCATTATTTTAGTTTATGTAAAATAATATTTCGTTATTATGTAATTTTTATGGATAAAATAACCAGAATGTTTAATTTTTATATATGAAGTCTAAGAACAAAATCATTTTTGGTCCAGAGAACAAAGCAGAAAATTATATTTAGTTGAGACAACTAAATATTTTGTTATATAAAACAAGATATTTGGTTGCTATTAAAAAATGCCTCAACTAAACAGTTTTGTTAGAGGTACTAAATTTTTTTTCCTAGTGTAGATGTGGTAATTTTTAATCGTTAATAACTTAATAACTATTGCGATTTTTGCAAAATGGCAATATGACTTTTCTTCTCAGATTGATCTGATTAATCCTCACAATTTTTCGTTTCCAAAAGATCCTGTATATATGTGTACACAGATCACCCTGTACATATGTGTATGTATATGATATATATATATACATCTATATATATATATATATATATAGATGCATATATATGTATATATACATATACTTATACGAGCACATCACGCGCATCACGCGCACGTGCGTAAGCTGACCTCGCTCTGTCCACGCACCTCCCGCATGGGTTCGCTGGCGAACGCGTGCTGCGTACAGCTGAGCCGTCGTACAGAAGACCTCACTGGTCCGCAAGAGAAGCGGCGAATGAGAGGTTGGGAGACGCGAGCGAGGAAACTTCCTCACTCACGCGTGCTGTGCGTAACACGCGATCGCATCGCGTCTTCGACGCAGCAACGAACTGCTTTCATTCCTACGAGCGTGTAGAAACGAGAGACGTAGAAACAACGCGCGCGCGCGCTCTCTCTTGCTTCTCCTCCTTCGCCTCCTCCACACTGACGCAACGTTACTCTCGATCGTCCTTTCTCTCGATGAGCGAATTAATTGCACGCGAATCCTCCGCGATCGACGCACTCGGGGATCTCCCCTGCTCCCTTCGACGTCCCGTAATCGCATTCACATTTTCGCGAAACGCTATCGAAGGATCTAATTGTCCCGATCTAAATAATAATCGGCACTTTGATATCCCGCTTTATCAGCAGCCGTCAAAACAACTTGGACTATTGAGGGAATTGGGTAAAGTCTCTCCCACCATTTGCATTCTAATCATTGCTATCTGTTCCGGTGGTCATTCGACAGTATTCGATAGTACACAACATTTTTGTGTATGTGTCTGTGTGCTGTGTGCGTGTGTCACTTGATTATGATTAAATACGCAGAATTCCCCGACACGGAATTCTCGAATACGAGGACTAATTTAAAGCCTCATGCGTATCTGTTTTTCCCGCTATAATAATGACGACGTTGATCGCTGAATGTTGCAAGTGGATTGCGAAATATCGCGAAATAACCAGCAACCCAATTGCGATAGTCAAACTTTTCTTATAGACGAATAGATAGGCAGAGAGAGAGAGAGAGAGAGAGAGAGAGAGAGAGAGAGAGAGAGAGAGGGGGGGGGGAGGGGGGAGAGAGGCGGATAAGAGGAGGCAACGTCTCGCACGACTCACGACGGGTGTAAACCTGTTTTTCGCTTGCACCTTACATCCAGATCCTTGAAATATTCTTTTGTGCGTCGATGTTATGCGCAACCGTATCCTTATGATTTACGCTTTGTTTAACATTTAGGGGGAACGATAAATTTCGGTAGAGCGTAGCGCGCAATCATATCTCTCTCACCTACTCGCGTATCTTTCACACGCGAATGAAGCGTTTGATTAGATTACAAGTCCTAATATTTGCCGCGCGCCTTAGCGTCACGAATCGTGCTCGGAGAGCGTGTCGGCCACCGGGAATTTCGTCAAGGATGACGAAATACAGTGGTTCGTTGCGTTCGTGCGGACAGATCGACTCGCGATGCATCGATCAACGTGCTATTCCTGAACGTGGAGAAATCGAGGAAACGAGAGAATCGATGAGAGCGGATGCCTTCAGATTTACAATGCAAAACGCACCGAGTGGAGATCGCGGCCATCGAAGAAAGACGGACAAGAGAAAGAGAAAACCGATCTGTAAACTCTCTCGCATTCGGTTAATTACTCTTTCCAGGCTACGTGCCGCTGGTGTAATCGGCGCGATTGGCGAGAGCTTCGCTTCCGCGAGTGCATTTCTACAAGGGGGAGATAATCGTTAATGATCGACCAGATGACCGCGGCGCGATCATCTCGCTCGAGGGCGAATTGACTAAAATTGCTACGGCCCTGGGGGGGACTCGATCTTCATTTCATTCATTTACGGCGAAATCGAATTAAATTCGCGACACCGACTCCACGGCCGCGCCGCGCCACTTATCGGCTCCGACGTAGACGCTGCGATGCTGCGATGAGGATAACGTATTGACACACGTATCCTGGTGGATACAATATCGCTGCGCGACAGCGCGACCTCGCCGCGATCGCCGACATTCGCGAGAGGCGCGCCGGTGTGAGTGCACCTAATATGTCTGACTCACGACTTTTGATCGAAACGCGAGCTAAGTACGAGCCGGCGTACCTTTGTCGACAAGTATAAATTGCGTCACCGCGACCACTGAATCACCGCGCGTCGCGAATTGCGCGTCTTTCGCGCGCGGCTCCCCGCAAAACGCGCGCGCGCGCGTTTCGACATATATCCAATTACGAACGTATCGCGGGATTTATCCGCGCGGATCGTCGGGGCCTCTTTCGAAACGCGGGACTGGGAGGCGCAGCTTTTTCGGCACTCGATAATTTCGCGGCGAAGGGAATCTCTTATCGATGCAGGAAATACTTTCGGTATCTGTCGCGTTGCCGCGATTGCACACGTACGATCGCGCGCGTATTATACATGCACAGCCCTCCCCGCGTCTCACGTTTAGCGCGAGCTGTGCGACGTCCTTATCAGCTGCACGTGTACGCGTAATTACGACGTCCGAGATCGGCCTTTAAACTGCGTCGGAGCTACTCGCTACGCAGTAAGCCGCTCTCTTACGCATTCGAATTTAAATTCAGTATATTTAACCAGACTCGTCATTGTATTCTAATCGGTCGCCGAGTCGGTCGCGACATCAAGTGCGTCGCGAAAGCGCCGCGACCGCTGAAATTCGCCTCGAGTCTAACGGGCTTAACGGTGTTTCTCGCTAGGTGATTCACTCTTACTCTCAGAGCGGTCCCCCGAACTCGGATCCGGCTCGAGAAAGGACGACTCCGTCGTCGGCCAAGTTGATTTTACATGTATTTCGTTTCACACAGACGTACGTCTGTTGTTAGTCAGCAACAGACATTTACGATCAGCCATTCGTTTGGACTTTGATAAGAAAATTCTGTTTCGCATAATATTGCATAAATATTGCGCAATTGACGTCTCCGAGTCTAAACACCATAAAGATGAGATTTCACGAGGGAATCGGCCTCTTTTTTCACGATTATCGGATCCTTCGTATAATGCATGCTACAAATTCGGGAGTTCAGTATGAAAACGTCGATGTCGTCTGTCGTGTCGTTGATCGCGTTTGCGCTCGTCTCCGTGCCACGCGAGAGGAAACGTCACTGGAGCTTGACGCAATTTCTCCTCTCGTTTCACGCCGCGTCTCCGGACTCGAAGACATGTCGTCGAACTTGACGCAATCCGCACGGCCGATTACGCACGCGGTCGGCAGAAGCCGTTATTTTCGGAAGTAACGATATTTTCGGATCGAGATGTGTCCACCTCGCGAGTCACATCGCGCGCCTCAAGGATGCCTTTTGAACGTTTTCAACATCGAACGCGTAATATCGCTCCGCGCTCACGAGCAGCAAACTTGACGCTTGTTTCGAGGCCACGTTTTTGTGTCATTTCATTTATTACCGGGAAAAAACTCTTTAGCATAAAAACAAAATAAGAAATGGCAATCTAAGAGTGTCATGAGAGGTCAAACGAATCAATCCCTCCAAATGTTCCATAAAGTGCTTTATGATGAGAGAGCAAAAAAAAAAAAAGAGGCCACGTTTTCGCGACGGAAGACGAGCTCGAGGAAGTTCACCGCCGTCATTACTTTGTATTCATCGCCGCGCGCTCGAAGTACGCTTGCGTTCGTCGGCGAAATCGAAGTACACGTAGAGGTAACAACGACAGCGATCGCGAGGTCACACAAGCGCGATGAAAGGATCGAACCGCAGCATCGTCCGCGCCATGGCGCGCCTTCGGAATGCGCGATCAAATTTTCTCGAAATTACTATCGAATCTCATTGGCGAAAAGACCCTCCCCCCTCTCAGTCTCTTCCCGACGCGGCGAGGATACCGTTCTTCTCGCAAGAAGAACACGTCACAGCGTGTATAAATCGGGTACGTGACGTTATCGCGCATATTCGTTTCGAGCATCGCGAATTTCGAGCTCCTCTACAACTGTCGTACACGGAAAATGCGGCTCGCTCAATTAGATTATCTTCGGTTATCTGACGCAAGCTACGACGTTGGCATACCCGGCTGTAAACATAGCCTCGCAACGGGAGTGCAACGCATGCGCCCGCTCCATGTCGCCGACGTGATGTTCGTCGAGTCGCAGCCCCGACGGGGTTTACGCGGTGGCGCGATTTAAACTCGTGTGTGAGTTAAACTCGTGAATCTTACATTAGGGTAGCCATCTTAATCGCGCTAACGGCAGTTGCGCTTCCCCATCACCGTGCATGCGTAGCGTCGGCCGGCGGCCGAGCGGTCGCTCATCGGCACGTACCTTTGCATCCAGCCTGGAAGAATCATCAGTTGCCAAGGATCCGTCCTGCTGGAACGCACGACCGACGGTCAGCCTCGTGCAACTCTAAGCAAAGCTGCGGAATTTAAACTCGTATCCGTATCGCACGCTCGCCGACACGAAGCGCCATAACACCGCTGCGGCGACGACTGCAATCTCTATCCCCCCACCACAGCGGCTGACGGACGTTCTGTCCGCCGTGCGCGGTCGTGCTCGCTTCGACTCTTGCCAGTAAACAGCTGGCGGCGCTCTGCGTCGGAGGCAGACGTTCAACGGGATAGTGTAGAACCGCTCGCCTATCCCCCTTTCCCCTCCCCTCACCGATCCGGCTGTCCTGCCAACGAGGACGCGCGACGCGACGCGACGCGCACTCGGCGACTGTTTCTCTGCTCGCTCCACGGCGCATTATTCAGTCAGTGTATCCGGGCGTGGACAGAGCTGGAGAGCGCCCATGACGTTCTAGAGTGTGTACCTGTATCAACGGAGAACGGTGTATCGCATCACGACGTCGGGCCCCGACGTGTCGTGTGGAAAAGCCGCGGGGAAAGCGGAGTCTCTTTGTTCCGCGCGACGGCGATTCTGCGCATAGCTGCTCACGCACGCGCGCGCGCGCGCGGCGCAGCATTGTTTGTGTTGCATCGCGCTTCGGTCTCTCGCTCGCGGTTTCGGTGGCTCTGACAATCCGGGCGTTGGAGAGCACTGGCCGTGGTGCATTGTCCGGGACGACGGTGCGCGCGGAAGTTCCCGAGGAAGTCGCGAGACGCGGCGACGGCACCGCGCGAGCTGTTGACGCGGTGTCGTTCTCCTCTCGAGTCGAGAAGCGAGGCTAAGAGAGAGAGAGAGAGACGGACGAAGGTAGAGAGAAGGAAGCGAGAAAGAGAAGAAGTGAGAAAGAGCGAGAGGGCGAGCGAGCGAGCGAGCGGCGAACGAGAACGGCGGCGACGAACGCTGCGGTGGCGTAACGCGGCGCGCGAGTGCTTTGTTTTGCCGAGCAGCTGATCCGCGAACAGCTACGCCACGGTAGTAGACGACGCGTCGGCGTTATCTCTGTCCTCTCTCTCTCTCTCTCTCTCTCTCTTTCTCTCGGCGACGCGACACGACCGTTCTTGTTCGCGAGGTCGCGCGTGTACGCGACGCGTTCTCACGCGCACGTCGCATCTCCGAAAAAAATCATCTCGTGGAGGAGTAAACGCGCGTCCGTTCGTCCGTCCGTCCGTCCGTCTCCACAGTCGACGCCTGCACGAGTCGGCGCCCCGAAACGTCATCGTGTCGCCCAGGGCCCGTCGGCCGATTGGTTCGTGACGTGAAAACACTGTAAGGCGAGAGAGAGCAGCTGGCCGCGTCGTCGAATCGATCGTTGACTCTCCCCGCTGTCAGAGGTGTATTTCCGTCAAGCCCAACGCGAGAACGCGCATCGAGACTCGAGTGTGAAATAATTCCACGAGGAGAGATCGCAGCGAGAAGGAAGCAGCATCGAAGCCGAGGAAGGATCGATCGTTCAATCGGTTCGCCATCCACGAAGCAGGGATACACGAGAAAGAGAGAGAGAGAGGTTCGGCAGAGGGAACGACACGGACGAGCCTCGCGTCCAACGACAAAGCGTCCAACCTCCTGTGTCCTGTGTATTCGTCCGAACGCTCTCTCGGCCACGCTCAGCGCAGTGAGTGAGCTCGGTGACGTAAACTTGTTGGTGCGTGTGTGAATGTGTGTGTGTACGACAGTGTGCACCGGGACTCGCGTTGCGTGGAGAGCCACGTTATGACATAAGGCAGCCGATCGACCGACGTCGTCCACTGCGAGCGCGAGCACGGACAGAAGAGAGAAGAACGAGCGACCGTGAACGCGCTCGTTCGCTCGTTGAACGGTAGAGTCAGCAGGCCGACAACACGTCGGCTACGATAACACAACGACAACAACAACAACGACGACGACGACGACGACGACGACGAGGAGGAGGAGGAGGACGTTGTTCCGTTGTCCGTTCGCTGGATCGCGGATCGATTCTGCCGTGAGCTCGCTTCCGTGGAACAAAGAAAACGAGTCGAAGGAGTGAGCGCGGGGGAAGACGGTGGACGTTCCAGTTTCCCTCTCGACGATCCGAGCGGCCGACAGTCTCGACACGCTGAGGAGGATATCTCTCCGTCCCGACGTCCGCTCAGCATTCTCGACAAAGAGGCGGCGGCGGAGGAGGAGGAGGAGAAGAAGAAGGAGGAAGAGGGACCTGGATGAGACTTTGCAACGCGTCTCTCACGTAGCAGAGCGCCGTTTCCGTCGCGAGGACCGACGTCGGGGATCGCGTTGATCGATGCGGCATAGACCCGAGGGGGCCGTACTCGCGAGCGGTCGGGAACGTGTGGTACGGCCCCGATCGAGCTGACTGCAAGGAGAAACGTCGAGGCGGGGGCCCGTTATCGCTGCTGTCGGGACCCTCGGCGAAGGGAAGGACCCGTGACGGCGGATGCCGCCGCCGGGTCTGTTGTAGCAGTTTCGCCCTCGTCGACAACATCGTCGTCGTCGTCGTTGTCGGCGCCTCCGGCGCCAAGACCGGCTACAAGATGCTGTATATATTCCACGTTGACACCGGCACCACCATCACCTTCGACATCAAGCTGGCCCTGCAGAGGTTAGTGCTTATTGATTATGCTACACGTGCGTATTTTTATTTATTTATTTTTCCTCGTAGGCAGGTAGGTAGCTAGGTAAACAGAGAGAGAGAGAGATAGATAGATAGGCAGGTAGGTAAGCGCGTTGTTCGCGTTAGCCGCTGCGGGAAAAGTTCGCTCGAGCGCAAACATTGTACACGCGTAATGGGACAATATTGCACGGTGAGACGCGGCGAGGGTGAGGGAGAGGGGCGGGTGTGCAAATATTCGAGAAACGCGGGTAACTCAAAGCGACATACATTCGCGCTTTGTTCGACCGCGTACGAGGATATTGTAACATTGTACCGCTCGGCTTTGCGCTCGTTGCGTGCGCGACTCGCGTTTTACAGTTTCCGCTGAGTAACTCGCGTTTTCGTCCGCCTTTGGGATTCAGTCACGATTTAGCGCACATTATCTCGCGTGTAACGCGCCTCGAAGAAACTTCGATCTCTCGCGCCTCTCTCGCCTGCGAATTTCGCCTCGCTCCGCATCGAGCGTCGAATCCTTTTGTCCGCCTCATGCTCCTTGTCCCGGTATTACATGATTAAATTAATTAAACTTCACGGTCCGATAATATCGGAATTTTGCGCGAGGCGATCACTCGTGAAGCGATCGCAAATTACGCGAGCGCTGTAATTACTCAGCATCGGGGAAATTTCATTACACCGATAGTCAGCGTACGATAACTCGCGCTGACGACCGCGCTCGCGGTGTCATTAGCAGCGCGCCGTTTAGTTACTCTAATAGCAACAGCGTGAATATCCAAGGACCCGTCGAAGGTTAACGAATGGCGAAGAACCGCCTCGCGGCCGCCGTGGGCGTATTGTGTATGTGTGTGTGTGTGTGTATGTATGAATGTTTGCATGTGCGCCGCGTGTTCTGTGCCGCGTCGCTGCGCCGAGAAAGAAAGAAAGACCCTTCGGAAACTGCGCGTGGAAACTTGACCGCGCGCGCGTTGCTACGTGCCTTCTCGCGCGGGCGCGACTCCGCGCCGAAAATACTGTACAGAGCGCGAGATCGACGCGCGGCGCGACGCGGCGTGGCGCAGCGACACGTGGGTGTGTGGGTTGGCTCGTGTCGCGCACGAGTCTGACCCGACGCTTGGCAAACTCGGCCAAGCTCTTCTAATGCGTACACGTCACGCGCGTGATGCAAACGAACGAACGAACCGTTCTTTCGATATTCTCCCGGCGCGCGGCGGTGTTCCGCGATTGAGAGCGCGCGAGCGTGTGTCTTTTTATCCCCTTAGTTACGAGAACGTGTAGATATATATAGAGATCGGCTCGTTTGATCGACGAGAAGGGGACCGTGTGAGAGAGAGAGAGAGAGAGGGGGGGGAGAGAGAGCGAGCTTCTCCGTCAATTTCGACTCGAGCCTCGGCACTCTGCTTTTCCTTTCGTGCGTTTGGAACGCAGCCGACGGTTCAATGAATCGTTTGCTTAATTCACAGAGATTGTGCGCTCCCGTGCCGACCGTCGTCGGCTGCATTTCGAAAGAACCGCGTCCGAAGAAGTAGAGTCGTTTTGAAACCCGTCTCGAGCTCTTTTTACTGTTAGGTGAAATTTTAATCCGACGCTTAATTAGACCGGCGTGTGCAATAATTGGGAATTTGCGGTGAACGGCGATCACCTCCGACATTCTCGTTACGAGGCAACGTTCACGCTGGTGGAGGAAAGTTCGTCCCGGAGCACATAACATCAATTTTTCTGTCTGTGTAAATATTTAAGTCTCAACTTGTGAGACACATATCGAGCGTGTATCTAGCGCGAAAATCCCACTGTCTACGGCAAAAGCGAAGAAAAAACTTCAAACCAACAACTCATCCAGGTCTCCCTCGTTATCAACGTGTGGCGAGTTTGGTATTAAAAATAATGAACGCTACACGTTGCAAATTATCCTCCCAGCCATCGACATAGTTTCCGAGAAACTGTCCCGCGTCTTGCGCAGCTGCGCGGCTAAATCCCATTTCACTCGGCGTACAAAATTATCGATTTCGCCAGTACCATCTGTCATTGATATCAATGCTCGACTGATATCGACAATAAAATCGCGATGACGAGGCTACTTCGCGTATTCTCTTTCTTCCTGCTCTCTCTCTCTCTCTCTCTCTCTCTCTCTCTCTCTCTCTCTCTCTCTCTCTCTCTCTCTCTCTCTCTCTCTCACTCCGTCCCCTCTGTTTTCGAACCTTCGGTTGTCACCGATTAATGTTTGTACGTGCCGCGGAAGGAATTGCAATTTGTGCGCATCGGCGTACGATAAACGACGCTGTTGACAAAACACCGCCACCCCGCCGGCAGACATGTTAAGCGCGCATTTTCAAAGATCACGCGGTCGCACGCGCGACTGACACGCGCGCATTGGAAATATATCGTCTAGCCTGCGGCGCACCGCGCCGCTCTCTACAACTGCGTTCCGATATTCATTGTCAGTGCTGAAACTCTAGAATATACGAGACGTGTGAACTATAGATTTTCAGTACTGGCAGTGAATATCGGGATAGTAGCACGCGTGCCGAATCGCGCTGCGTCGTCGAGCCTCGAGCGAGCTTTTAATGCGCAGCGATTCTAAGGGACCGACGGTGCCGCTCCCCGCCTCGCGAGGTTCCTCCGTCGTATTGGAGCGCCGTGACGTCAAAGGGTCAATTAAGCAAAAAATAGTCGACAGTGTTTGAAGACGGACGGAGGAGAGATTCTGCAGTTGCGGCACAGTGCAATCCCGGCGACTCTTATCGGAGCCAAGTCGCGGTCTGCTCAATTTCAAGATCATTTTTCCCAGACGGAAACGACCACAAGTCACTGGAGGAAAATTTGCTGATACGACAGGCGTGCCCGTCGGGGACGTTTTTCCACTTGTTTCTAAATGCATTTTGCTTTCGCATCGCGATCACATGTGCAATAGGCATTCAGACGGTAGGTTTCGTCAAATTTTTTTTTTAATAAAAATAATCAGGATGTGTGACGGTAAGGATTCCGATGGAAGAGTATCGGAGAATATTTCGACGGAGCATGGCGCCTGTTCTGTCTGCCTAGATGGATAGTGCGAGTTCAGCCTATCAAAAGCCCTCATTCCTCCTCTCTCTCTCTCTCTCTCTCTCTCTCTCTCTTCTCTCTCTCTCTCTCTCTCTCTCTCTCTCTCTCTCTCTCTTTCTCTCGACTCGCATCGATATTTGCGGATTAAGATAGCGAGTGGCGATAGAGGCGGTCGTCGGCCTCGTTCGCCGCAGCAATTAACGATCTGTGTCAATTTGCGAGGGCGCTCCGGCCCGATTTGCTTTTATTATCCGCGCCTGCTTAGTAATCGCGGCTGCGCGGTTAAGCGTGGAACGTGTAAATACGCGTTGGCCTAATTGCAGCGTGTAACGATTAAATGCGCGGGATTCCGTCGCGTTAATGAAGTCTCAGGGCGACGTTAAGCGGCGGCGGACGCCGTCGCGCCGTGGCTGCGTATATATTATTTCTCTGCGTTTTACCTTGCGTTCTGTCACACACACACACACACACACACACACGCGCGCGCGCGCGATAAGGAGTATCTGCGCATTAGCCGGCAGAAATCGCGCGTGCCAAGCGCGCGTTGACAGCTCCTTACGATCGAGCTCAAATCGATGCAACAACAAGCAGCACACTCGCACATCCCGGCCGGCGTTAACACGCTTCGGCGTTAGACACATCGCGCGTGCGCGCGAGAGACCGTCGTAAAACTGCCTGTTATGCCGCCTGTTATCAGTGCCGCGGTCCTCGCATATCCTCGTTCGTGCGGTCGACCTACCGCGCGAGCCAAGATCATCCCGTCCTGTTCGTCGCATCTCCCGACGCCGATTACTGACGCGCTAATTTTACGCACTAATAAGTCCTCGCCCGGCCGTCGCAACGGCCGGCTAAGTAACAGCCGACCCTTGGAAACGCGCAGCGTAGAGACGCAGAGCCGCGAGCGGGCACGTCCGATACCTTTGAGCGAAACCGCGAGCGCTTCGGTGGACTCGTCGTCGTCGTCGTCGTCGTCGTCGTCGTCGTCGTCGTCGTGTGCACGCGTGAAATACGAGCTGAGCCGTGACGCACGCGCGCGCGCGCGCGAGCACCGACGACATGCAGTCTCGCGATGCGATGCGACGCGACGCGCTACAACTTGCACAGCTGAGCGTGTGCTGTAGTCAGCTGTAACGTGACCACCACCACCACCACCACCACCACCATTACCAGCGCGAATGACTGATGATATTTCGCGTGACGTGCGCGACGCGCGCGCGACGTTTCCCGCAGCCAGCGGCGCGAAACGCTTTCCTTCGACCGCCGCGTAAGCTCGATCTCCGAGTATCCGTAATCTCGACGTTCAATCGCTCGCTAATGACACGCTTGGCTTTACACGCTCTCTCGGCTCTCGCGAGCGGAGGACAAAAAAAGAGTCGACGAGCCCGGAACGAGGGGTGACGTCAGTGTTTCTCCGCGAATACTCTTATTCGGAAATGCTACTCACCTCGAGGCGAGGACAGCTGCATGTGATCGTGAGCCTGTGTCGCGCTGCACCGGCCGGATAGCGCGCGCGCGCGCGGCGGTTTCATCCGCTTGGTGACGGCGTAATCGTCGTTCTCTCAGTAATTAATGCACCGTGCATCTCGCTTCAAACAAAGAGCTCTCCTTAACCGCGTCGGTTAACCTTGCGCTCGAGAGAGAGAGAGAGAGAGAGAGAGGGGGGGGGGGCTGTTAACGATGCCGCCAGGCGTGCCGTTACGATTCCTTTTAAGCGCGCCATTTACGGCAGCCGTGTTCGCACGAGGCTGAAACTTCCCTAAAGCCTCGTAAAGCGGAAAAAGCGCGCGGATCTCCGGCCGCGAGCGAGCGCGTCGAGAGCGATCGCGAATGAACGGTCGGTCGGCACGAAGAAAGGATATCAAGATATCGCAAAATCCGCGCGTTGTGTACGATTACGCAAGAGCGCGTGCACTCTCTGTGTGTATGTAATCACGTCAGTCTTCATCCGATCCTTCTCTCTTGTTTTTTTTTTCCTCTCTGTTTGCACCAACCTCTCAACTACTCTCGCACATCGGTGCACTCGACTTGCATTCGCTTGATGGAGTGGCAGCAGTTTGATTACTCGCGTTCAGATTTTCCGTACACACACACACACACACACACACACACACACACACACACACACACGCCGCGTCGGTGTTTTGAAATAAAACCGATCGGCGGGACTCGAGACTCTGTTTGAGAAATTAACAATAATCCCCCGCGAGTGCACGTGTTACATCAGAGCACCGAATAGCAGCGCTCCCCCGGTGATTCTCCTTATGCAATACCGTGTCGGCTTGCACTTATCTCATGGTAGCGTGATGTTACTCGCCGATCGTGAGTCTATCGGGCGTTGAAACGTGCGCGATACGAGCAATATCTTAATGCGCCCTCGATTAATGCGCTCTTCCCCCCCCTCTCCCCCCCCCGTTATCTCTCCGCCGCGTTGTGCATCCGCCGGTGGAAACGCGTCATCCGGTAATTACGCGGTATGAACTCCTTACGGAAACCAGGTCGTATCGCCTAACCGCCATCGAGCCGAGCTCTTCTCTGCTGCTTCTTTCTTGCCTAAAGGCGCGATATCGCCCTTGATTTACTCAAGCGGAAGAGACTCACCGCGTGACGGATCATGGCGAGCGCTTCTCTTTCCCGCGGAGGTTAGCGGGTGAACGTTTCGGACGGTATCCAGTCATTCGCCATTTTCTCTGTCTTGCTTGGTAGACCTTACTACGAACGCGACGTGTCAAGCCAAGCGAAAATTAATGATTGACTAATGATTAGTTACACACACACACACACATGTCGCGTCGGTCGACGTCGTTTTTATCGCCAATCAGCCTCTCATGCGAAATGCACTTTTTTGTGTTGCAGTGTCGCCCAACTGAAGGAGGCGATCGAGAGGGAATGCGGGGTGGCAGCGGCGCAGCAGGTATTGCTGATGAGCGGAGGCGAGAGTCTGGAACCGAACGCGCGCGTGTGCTCGTACTCGGCCGGGACCGACACGAATCCGATCTATCTGTTCAGCAAGAGCGCCATTGAGAGCCCCCTTCCACCCATGCCGAGTATAGATTACGGTTCTGGTGAGTTCTGGCGAGCCTTTTTCTCCGCTTATCGTGCGCGAGATTAAGCGCGTTGGATTTGATGCGCGGGAGCGTCGCTCGCTCGCCCGTAGACGAGCGAGGTCTGCACAGATGATGAAGAGCGATTCAATAAGAGTTCCACGATAACGTCCGATGAGACGCACTGCTCGTCCCTCGCTGTCCGAGAACTCGCAGCAGTTTTCCGTTGGTTGGAATATCGGTAATTCGTACGTTGCTATGCGGGAAGTCTGCGAGAGGAGGATGTCGTGTGAACGGCGACGCAGGTGATTGCCTTTGGATAATTGATCGCTCGTTGGAAAATGGGCGATAATGAATATGGGTGTCTCGTCGCTCGTGCATTTACACAACCGGTTTTTTCCACGACATGGCTCAATGCGAGATAACGAAGTACGGATCGTTCGACTGTCACGGCAGCTAGTTCCGACATCACCTCGAATGCGGAGCGATCAATTTCGATCGAGCTTAGACGGAAGATTTCGCGAGTTGCGTCCTATTGAAACGACGACGTTGATGCAGAGAGCTCGTTAACGCGCGGAGAGAGCCGTTGTCGAAAGGCCAATGTGCTGTGATCCTCATGAGCGCGGCAGTTCGTGGAACGCTCCGCAACGTCGCGTCGACGAGAGAACAGTTTATCGAGCCGAGGTGATATCAACCTGTCGACTTGTGTCGAAACCGTAAACAATCGTCGGATTGTGCTTAGAGCATAATCGGCTCGATAACCTTTGCTGCAGCAAGGCGCGCTGTTCGTTTTTATATACATATATCTCCGTTGTAATGAGAGAAGATTATAAGGTGACGGCCTGCACGCGATACCTCTCTCTCTCTCCCTCCCTCGTTCCGCTCCTTCGTGAGACGGAGAGAGAGGGATAGAAAGAGACAGAGAAACGCGCCTCTGTTCCCGTTCCGTTATTCTTAATTTCCTGGGCTCAGCTTGGGCTTGGTCGTATGCTCACGGTGTCGTCCTATTTTATACTTTCTTTTATTCACTTCTTTGTTTTGTACCGTTAGCCTATCGCGCGTACTTCGCGACTCGTTTCGTTATTGCGCGCTCCTCCTCCTGCCCTCCGTCTTCCTTCCCGCGTCCCCCCGGCTCGTTCCCCGCGATCGCACACGTACGCACCTACGATCACGAGGCGCGAGCTATGATTTAGCGACACGCATACCGCTTGCGGTGCGCCGCGTATCTAGTCCGCTCGTGATTCGACCGCAAATCACACCCATTGCGAGGCCAATACGCGCGCGCGCGGCCGGCGCGATCTAACGATCTGACGATCGGGCCGGGTCGCGATCGCGACTTTTCCTCCGCGTGAACGGCGATCTGAGTCTCGGTGATTTCTTCTTTTCCTCACCGCGCGCGCGAGAGCCGTCGATAATATCCGCTCGGAATCGTAAATTTGCGTCGGTCCGGACTCGCATTGGGGGACTCCCGTCGAGAATAAAAAGCCGCGTGTAATAGCAGCATATGTGTCTGGCTGCTGGTGTGAGTGCGACTTGGCGAATGCACGTTTTGCTGATTACAGCTGTTCTTACATTTCCCGCGGTAAATCGCCGCTTTCTTAGCTCCTTATGCTGGCTGCTGCGCGGTAATTGCGCAAAAGGTGCTACATTCATTCCAGTTAATTAAGGCCTTCGGGGGCCTCCGACGTTTTTCGCCTCTTTCCTTTTTTTTTCTTTTCTTTTCTTTTCCTTTCTTTTTTTCTTTAGCCCGACGTATCGCGTCCAGCACACCACGCTCCCACAAGGTGAACACGAGATAGATATACGAGAGAAAGAGCGACGGGAGGGGAGGATTTAATTGTCTACTCGTTATATACCGCTAATTGGTATTAGAATGTAGAACAATGGGCGCGTTCTTTATCTCGGATGGAATCTCGGTTATCACGAAAACTCCAACGACGACGACTGTTCGCCTTCGTAGATGCTTCTCCGTCGCCGCGAGACTTTGATCCGCGCTGTTAACGAGCCTCGTGATCAACCGTTCGACCTGATTCTGTTATCCATGGGATAACCATCTGGGTCTCTCTCTCTCTCTCTTTCTCTCTGCCCCTTCCTCTCTCTCTCTCTCTCTCTCTCTCTCTTCCTCCCACCCATCCTCCGTTCATCCCTCCCTGCCTCTATCTTCGTTCTGGTCCGCGCGTGAGTAATTGCATCGGCGACGTGACATCGAGAACGGCGCGACGCGACTCGGCGCGCGGCGCACGTCAAGTTCCCGTTGCATAGAACGAACGCGAAAGTAGGCCGCGTCGGGTGGCGTGACGCTTTTCCGGGAGTCGCAAAAATAGAGTCGATGATACTCGCCGAAGTCGCGACGTCGAGCCGTCGGGAAAACAGCCGCGAGGGCGGCCTTAATTCCGTTGATCGCGCGCTCCAGTCGCTCCGGAAGTTCTCTCTCCGAGAGTCCGCGGTTACCGCGTCGTCGTGCTGCGGCGAATGCAGCTCGCCTCTCTCTCTCTCTCTCTCTCTCTCTCTCTCTCTCTCTCTCTCTCTCTCTCTCTCTCTCTCTCTCTCTCTCTCTCTCTCTCTCTCTCTCTCTCTCTTCCCCCCTCCCTCCTTCCGTCTCTGCAGCCCTCTTTTGCTCGTTCTCTCTGGAGAAACGGAGACGAGACGAGACGTCTATTGAATTATGGCAGACGTCGTACGTAACAGCCGATTGAATTACGGCGCGGAATTATGTACGAGAGACGGAGGCGGCCCGCCGATCCGCGTGGATGTTCACTCGCGTTGCTTGTTTACAAGCGAGAGATTCGGCAGGCCGGTGGTGAGCTTCCGACGCGGCTTTCAATTCTTAACGATTTATCGCGCGCGAGACACGAGACGAATCTCCCGATAAATCGCGGAGAGGAGGACACAGCGCGGCGATCTGCATTTTGCATTTCTCACGCGGAGAGAGGTTCCCGTTGGCACTGGATTTCGCTCAAGATCGAATCGAATCCGAAATATACGTCGGTATTCCGGAAATAAGGCAATGCTCAGTCGGCCGTCCTGCCACGAACCACCGCGTCCGTGAACGTGCGCGACTCGCGCGGCGATAGACACCGCGAATAGAAACAGGAGCGTTTATCGAGAATCGAAGACACTGACGACGTGACGTTGAAATCGTCAGCTGATTAGAGACTTCACGAGAGAGAGAGAGAGAGGGGGGGAGGGGGGGAGGAGAGGTCGTGCCTGCATCGATCGCGAAACGCGAAACGTGACGGAAGTACCGGTACGGCTGTTTACCGCTGGATTTACCGCAACGCGTTATGTCTCATGCGTTCCTTTCCATTCCTTTCGACGACGAATCATCGATTCCCGACCCACGCTAATACCGACAGAGAGAGAGAGAGAGAGAGAGAGAGAGAGAGAGAGAGAGAGAGAGAGAGACGGGTTTCTTTATTTTTCTCATCCGGCGCGTCCGTGTGCGTATTCTCCGAGACCTTGAATTATCCAGTGAAAATGCCCGTAGAAGCTGTCTCTTCGTTGGCGCCTCAATTTTATGGCGTAGCCCCGGATCCAGCGCATCCCGCGCGGCGCCTTTTCCCGACCATTGATTTCAATCGGCTCCGATTCGGTCGGTTGGGTCTCACGTTCGCGTCACGAGACGCGCGTGCGAAATGGCCACTCTTCGCGGCGATACGACACCTTTGACATCGCGAGAATCCGGTAGATCTCGCGAGGATACCGTGACGCACGTCTCGTCATTATCCGTGCTCCGTGGCTTCTCCTGTGACTGTGGTCTTGATCAGAGCTTATCTCGAACAACGATACGATTGCCTGATGGTGTTTCTCTCTCTCTCTCTCTCTCTCTCTCTGTGTGTGTCGCGTGCGCGCGCGCATCACTCTCAAATTTCCACGCTGCAAAAGTATACGCGAGATCGGCAACGGCTGTCGGCATGTTACGCCCAAAGACGGATAATGTTTACTTCTAAATATGACCAATATGGGCAAACTGAGCGCCAAATGTCATAACGGTGTAACGATAAAAACTGGCGCGCTTCTATCAGCGTTTATCGCTATCACACTTTACGTTATCGAGTGCGCTCGCCGTCACCACCATCGCCGGCAACGTTATTGGAACGCGTGTTTTTCCCGGTATGTTCATAAATACATTCCTAAAAATATACGCATTGTAATTATCCTCCCGTGACGCGATAAGCACCTTTTTAATAAACCGCACGACACTTAATCCCCCACCGGCGGCGCGTAATATCGCGTCGTTACAAAGATTACACCGCTATCTCGCTCTATGAAGAATCATTTGCGTTGAGCCAACACGAAAACAGAACCGTGCTCGGCGATAACTTTAATTCAAAGCCGACGCAACCGTCGTGTGTTGCCGCGGCCCCATCACCGACGCACGTTAATCGCCACCTTAACGGACAAGAAAATACAACATGACGAAATTCGAGGCCGTGCGCCGTTGCGGATCCCGCAACGAAAGAAAAGTATTGAGAACCGGGGCGATTGTAAACTGGTGTCTACTCTTTATTACGCAGTCGAATAATATTGTCGTTATTTTTTGTCTAATAACCACTCGACGATTTAACTCGTGGAGGTAATATCGACCGCGGACGGTCGATGAGAGCTAGAATGAGAATGAGAAAGAGAAAGAGTGAGAGAGAGAGAGGGGGGTGGAGGGGAGGGGGAATAGAGAGATATCGGATCTTCTTCCCAGCCTCGCCCGGAAAATCCAATATTGAGGGAAATTTCGTGTATTAGCGTGTATGCGAGCGATTTTTCTCTCGTCGAGTAGAAAAATGGGAACGTAGTACGCTAACGTCATCAATATTTTCGCAGGAGATTGCCTACTCACTTTCTGTGACTCAGCCTGTACACGCGCGTGTGCCAAGTGCATGTGCATTATAAAGTCGATACCGTAGCTAGGGGTTCGTTAAGTTGGCACACGGGGTGATTTTCCATTCCGCGTCTCTCTCGGCGGGAACGTTGCGAGCGAGTCGTGAAACGGAGAAAAGGCCGCGCCGCGGAAAAACCATACGAAG